TCAAAAGATGACTGGTCCGTTGTCATGGAAACTGTGTCTGGAATCCCGTGGCAATGGTTGCTTGGTGACGAACCTCCTGGGCCAATCACATGCTTGCAGAGTAGCATTTCTCAGGCTGGACAACTTGAAGATGGGTGGACTTCAACTCCCAGAATTCCCCAGCCAGCAACGCTGGCTGGGGAATTCTGGGAATTGAAGTCCACCCATCTTCAAGTTGCCGAGGCTGAGAAGCAGTCCTGAAAAAAATTGGCAAGGGGACCATAGAGTGATCAGGGGACCAGTCTCGGTTGCTAGAAGGGTGACCCCAAAGCTCCGTAGCAACAAGCCCCGCCTTTCCTTTCTCCCGACAACAGCAGTATCCTGGCAACAGGGAGCCAGCGTCTTCCTTGCCTCCCACCCACTCCCACCCAGCGGGATACGCCTCCCAGCAACAGTGCACACACACACACACACACGGTGACCTTCCTCTCCTAGCAACCAAACAGGGTCTCCAACCCCACTATTTCTTGGCTGCCTGGATTGGCTGACCCTGCCGGATCATCCAAATCAGACGCCCGGTCAGTTGGTAGCCAGTCAAGAGACTTTGCCACGGTGCCAATATTTCCCCCCCACCCATCTCTCTATCTTCTCCAGATGGTTTCTCAGCTGAGTTTGGGCTGCAAACGTCAAATTCCAGCGTTTTCCAAGAATAACAGAGTTGGAGGGGGACTTTAGAGCCTGACTAGGTGGCTCAGTGGCTAAGACACTGAGCTTGTCGATCAGAAAGGCCGGCAGTTCGGTGGTTCGAATCCCTAGTACAGGTCTCCTGTGTGAGCAGGGGGTTGGGCTAGATGACCTCCAGGGTCCCTTCCAACTCTGTTACTGTTTATTTATTTATTTATTTATTTATTAGTCATATTTCTATGCCGCCCACTCTCCGAGGACTCTGGGCGGCTTACAACAATCGCCCCGAGGTGGGTTCTAATTTTTTTTTACTACCGGTTCTGTGGGCATGGCTTATTTTGTGGGTGTGGCTTGGAGGTCATGTGACTAGGTGGGCGTGGCTAGCTGGTCAGAGTCATTTCTGGAAGGTCCTCACACTTACGACCAGTCCTCGCACTTACAATCCGACTCATTTGTTTGCTTTTAACACTGATCAGCTGTAGGGCGGCCCTTTGAAGCCCCGCGGCAAGAGTTTAAACAGTTTTTTTCCCTCTAGTCATCAGCTGGGACTCAGGAGGCAGCAATAGATTGGGGGTGGGACCAAATAAAAGGTAAGAATAACATGGGAGCGTGGGAGGGCGGGAGGGCAGGGGGAGGAGAACCAGTTAAGTGATGTCATATCGTCACCGCTACCGGCTCGGCCGAACCGGACTGAACCGGGAGGAACCCACCACTGCAATCGACAGTATACTAAATAGCATATTGCCCCCAATAATCTGGGTCCTCATTTTACCCACCTCGGAAGGATGGAAGGCTGAGTCAATCTTGAGCCGGTGAGATTTGATCCGCCGATCTGCTGAACTAGCAGTCAGCTGAAGTAGCTGCAGTACAGCACTCTAACCACTGCGCCACCTCGGCTCTTTTTAGTTAGAGGCCCTCTAGCTTAACCCGCTGCTCAAGTAGAAAGCCCTATATAGCCAAAATGACTGCCCAGTCTCTTCTTTAACAAATATGGGGAGCACCCACAACTTCTGGAGGCAAGTTGATGGGGGGGGGGTCATCTGAAAATGAGACACAAATCACATCCAGTTCACCCTTTGCTTCACTCTAAACCCGGGTTAAGAATGGTTGCATTCGCACCACATTCTGGGCCAAGGAAAGTCACCTTCCCCATTTTAGCAGGACGCCGAAAAAAACCAATATGTTTCTTCATTCTTGGCAACTTTAAGAATTAAAATTGGGGGGCCCTGCGCTCTTCGTCATCTTCATAACGATGATCAAGACAAAGGGATAGAAGGGGAATTCACAAAATTTGCAAGCGACACCAAGCTGGAAGGAATTGCCAACACTTTAGAAGGTGGTGTTGTGGTCCGCCAGCAGTCTGCAGAGCTGGCAGAGGAGTCGGAGAGCGATGAGGCTGAGGAGGAACATGGGCCAGTCCTAGAGGCTGGGGAAGGCCCAGATGAGGGCTCTTCATCGGAGGCAGAGATGGGGCCAGGCCCATCGGGGAGTGATGTGCGGACTCCGGAGCCTCCAGAGGCTGACAGTAGAGAGGCAGAGGAATAGGGGGAGCCTGTTCCTAGTGCACACATGAGAAGAGCTACCAGAAGGCAAGAGCAGCTAAAGCAAAAAGGACGACTCAGGAGTAAGGCCAAGAGATGATTGGCCCTTCCCATAAGGCTTAAAAGACCAGCAACGGCTCTTGGCCTCTTTGTCGGAAAACAACGTTGATAAACTTGTTCTTGTCTTGCTGCACTTATCTCTAGTCGGCGTCTTCTGCTTCTGAACTTTTGCCAAGAGAAGCCTTTGGCAGGTTGCCTAATTATACCAAGGTTGGTGATTAGACTGAAGGATTCGTGTTATGAAAAATTTGTTTTGATTTAATAACGTCTGTTTATTTTGGAACTGTTTGCGTCTAATACGACCTACTTGGGCCTGGGTCAGAACAGATGGACTCAAGATTAAGCAGATGGGACAGATGTGAGCATTGGGGCCCTATCCGAAAAGATGCAGTTTATGCTTTGGCAGGAAAAAAAACCCAAAATGCACAGGTATGGAAGAGGCACGACAATAGTAACCGTGAGAGGGATCTTGGAGTCTCAGCGGACGGCCACTTAAACAGGAGCCAACACAGTGTGTGCCAAAAAAGTCAATGTAATTCTAGGCTGCATGAACAGAGGGATGAGATCGAGATCAGGTGAAATGTTAATACCGTTTTAGAATGCCCTGGTGAGACCATAATTGGAATATGGCATCCAGTTTTTGTCTCCATGATATAAAAGAAGATGTTTGAGGTTTTAGAAAGAGTGCAGAGAAGAGCCACAAAAATGATTAGGGAGCTACTGGCAGGTAAAATATACATTCAACCTGTTGTAGGAACTGAGTATGTCTAGTTTAATGAAAAGAAGGACTGGGGGGACATGATAGCATCTTCTAATATCTCAGGGGCTTCCACAAAGAATAAGAGGTCAAGCTATTTTCCAAAGCCCCTGAAGGCAGGACAAGAAACAACGGATGGAAACTAAACTAAACTAAAGGAGCCTGGATAACTCAACAGACAGAGCTCTGTAATTTAACACCAGCTGTCTGCAATTACTGCAGGTTCGAATCTCGCCAGGCTCAAGGTTGACTCAGCCTTCCATCCTTTCTAAGGTAGGTAAATTGAGGACCCAGTTTGTGGGGGCAATAAGCTGACTTTGTATAAATATACAAAAGGATGAAGGCTATTGCTTAGCGCATTGTAAGCCGCCCTGAGTCTCCGGAGAAGGGCGGCATATAAATCAAATTAAAAAAAAAAAAAACAAGGAGAGAAGCATCCTGCAACTAAGGAGAAATTTCCTGACAGTGAGGTCAATTAACCAGTGGAACTGCTTGCCTCCCTTCTAATAATCCAATCCTTTTGAAAAGGGTGGAGTCATCTTAAGCTCCACTTTCTTGAATACCGTATGCACTGGAGTGGGGGGGCAATGGTCCATGCCTAACAGTCCCATTCCTCTGGAGGGGGGGGGCTTGCAAACTGACCATAAGAGCCAGGGAGAACCTCATACAGAGAAAAGTGGAGGTTCATGACTTCCCATATCAATTCCCTTCTGATCTCACTGGAGCCTGGATAGCTCTGCAGATTAAGCACTGTAATTTAACACCAGCTGCCTGCAATTACTGCAGGTTCGAATCTCGCCAGGCTCAAGGTTGACTCAGCCTTTCCATCCTTTCTAAGGTAGGTAAATTGAGGACCCAGATTGTGGGGGCAATAAGCTGACTTTGTATAAATATACAAAAGGATGAAGGCTATTGCTTAGCGCATTGTAAGCCGCCCTGAGTCTCCGGAGAAGGGCGGCATATAAATCAAATTAAAAAAAAAAAATCACGTGAAAACAATTCATGATTTTGCCATCTAAAAGAACGGAAGGAAAACGAACAACTTAACGGTGACTTAGTATGTCTGCCAAATGTTGGATTTCTCTCCATGGTTTAAGAAGGCTTTCGAAGCACTGATTACAAACCATCTTTGGTACTTCGTGAGACCGAAAGAGTCAGGAAAGGATGCTATGTTTCAGCAAGTGGCACGGAGCCAGTTTAGTCTAAGCGGTTAAGGCACCAGGCTAGAACGTGGTTAAGGGGTGGTGAGTTCTAGTCCTGCCTTAGCCATGAAAGCCGGCTGGGTGACTTTGGATCAATCACTAGGAGACGATGAATTCTAGTCTCGCTTTAGGCAGGAAAGAAAACTGGGTGAGTAGGCCAATCACTAGGAGATGGTGAGTTCAAGTCTTGCCTATTCAACAGGAAAGCCAATTGGGTGACTTTGGGCCAATCACCAGGAGACAGTGAATTCTAGTCTCGCCTTAGGCAAGAAAGCTGGCTGGGTGACTTTGGGCCAATCACTAGGAGACAGTGAATTCTAGTCTCGCCTTAGGCAAGAAAGCTGGCTGGGTGACTTTGGGCCAATCACTAGGAGACAGTGAATTCTAGTCTCACCTTAGGCAAAAAAGCCAGCTGGGTGACTTTAGGCCAATCACTAGGAGACAGTGAATTCTAGTCTCACCTTAGGCAAAAAAACCGGCTGGGTGACTTTGGGCCAATCACTAGGAGACAGTGAATTCTAGTCTCGCCTTAGGCAAGAAAGCTGGCTGGGTGACTTTGGGCCAATGACCAGGAGAAGGTGAGTTCGAGTCCCGCCTTAGGCACGAAGGTTGGCTGGGTAAACTTTGAGCCAGTCCTTCTCTCTCAGCTCAGCCCACCTCACAGGGTCGTTATCGTGAGGAAAACGGGAAGAGGCCGGTGTGTGGGGTATGTTCGCCTCCTTGAGTTGCTCACAAAAAGCAGCAGGCGGCAGATAAATGCAGAAATAAAACTAAAGTGCCTCCGAGCAATTGGAGCATTAAAAGAGAAAAGTTACGTCCACTCCCTGCATAAGAAGCTCCGTGTAAAGCTCCGTGTTACTACAAGAGGCTCGCCTCTCTCCAAAGCAAGACGAAGGCGCTGGCAATCCATGTGCAGGCGGCTTATGGGGAGTAAAAGCTTATGGGGAGACGCTTTTGCGCACTAGACCAATCCAAAATAGAGCCCAGAAGGCAAAAGCAACTAACCGGATTTGTGCAGGACCCACAAATCCCCCAGGAGAAGGAGGTTTCTGCCTTGTTGCCTGCTGAACACTGATTCCTTGGCGCCTGGCAGAGGTGGGGAGCCTGGCGCCATGACTCAGGCGGTGTGTGTGTGGGGGGGGAGATGGCTCCCCACCGAAGCGCGGCAAGCAGGCAAGGAAACAGACACTCAGTGGCTGCTTTCTGACGGTGACTCAGATTCCGTCCTTGGTGGATTCGCGAGCCTGCCTCCCACTGTCGGGTTCTCGCAGCCGATGGGACGGTTGTCCACCTCTGTCATGCAGATATGATCGTTCCAGCCCTGTGGTCTCCTCACCTGGCTCACCTGGAGAAGGACGTCCTGGCTTTCTACTCTGCCTGGTGCTGAGGACCGCTAGCCAGGGCTGCTGCACCAGCTTTGCCAACAGAACCGGTGCCAAGGACGCGTCCCGGATTTCCCTGCCGATGAGGCACTGAGGACTCAGGTGGCATCCCAACACAGGTGAGCAGATGTAAGGTGGGGGGAGGGAGAGCAGATTCAGCCAGAGGTGGCTCCCAGCTCGGACATCCTGGGGAAGAGTGGATCTCGAAAGCCACGGAAAGACCAGGAAAAGCACAGGGGTGATTCAGAGGCAGCGTTTTGGAGCCCGGCTCCTGAATGACTCCAGGTGAGGGGGTCTCGACCTGCAGGGCAGAGAGAGGAACCCACCGAGTTGGGGGTCTTGCAATGCCTGAAACATTAAAAAGAAAAAAAAAACAACCCACCCTAAGCTGAATTAAAACCAAAAGAGGTTTAGCCTGTTAAGAAAGTGCTCGTTTTGGGCAGCATCTGTTTAAAAGGACACAGCCAGGAGAGAATTTCTCTCCGGGGTCTGGATTCTATATATTGTAGCTATATGTTGATCTGTACCTCCGTACCTACCCACCCACCCATCTACCTATCGCCTATCATTTTTTTCCTCTGTCTATCTATCATCTATCTAATTACTTAGCTCTTCTATCGATCTCATCTTTCAGTAACAGTAACGGAGTTGGAAGGGACCCTGGAGGTCATCTAGTCCAACCCCCTGCTCACGCAGATGATCTGTACTAGGGATTCAAACCACCGAACTGCTGACCTTTCTGATCGACAAGCTCAGTGCCTTAGCCACTGAGCCATCTATTGACTGGCCTACCTGTTTACTTATGTACCTACCAAACTCTGTGTCTGTCTATCTATACATCCGTACATCCATCTGTCCACAGTATCTATCGTCTATCCATCTGTCCATGCATCCATTCTATCTATCTATCTATCTATCTATCTATCTATCTATCTATCTATCTACCTACCTACCTACCTACCTACCTACCTACCTACCTACCTACCTATATCTATCATCTACCTACCTACCTACCTACCTTACCTACCTATCATCTATCTATCATCTATCTACCTATCTACCTACCTACCTAATCATCTATCTACCTACCTACCTATATCCATCATCTACCTACCTACCTACCTACCTATTGATCTACCTACCTATCATTTATCATCTACCTACCTACCTACCTACCTATCAATCTACCTACCTACCTATCAATCTACTTACCTACCTACCTACCTATCTATCTCCATCCATATCTATCTATCTATCTATCTATCTATCTATCTATCTATCTATCTATCTATCTATCTATCTATCTATCTACCTACCTACCTACCTACCTACCTACCTACCTAATCATCTATCTACCTACCTACCTATATCTATCATCTACCTACCTACCTACCTATCGATCTACCTACCTACCTACCTATCATCTATCTACCTACCTACCTATCTACCTATCTATCTCCATCCATATCTATCTATCTATCTATCTATCCATCTATCTATCCATCCATATCTATCTACCTATCTACCTATCATCTATCTACCTACCTATCTACCTATCTATCTCCATCCATATCTATCTATCTATCTATCTATCTATCTATCTATCTATCTATCTATCTATCTATCTATCTATCTACCTACCTACCTACCTACCTACCTACCTACCTAATCATCTATCTACCTACCTACCTATATCTATCATCTACCTACCTACCTATCGATCTACCTACCTACCTACCTATCATCTATCTACCTACCTATCTACCTATCTATCTCCATCCATATCTATCTATCTATCTATCTATCTATCTATCTATCTATCTATCTATCTATCTATCCATCTATCTATCCATCCATATCTATCTACCTATCTACCTATCATCTATCTACCTACCTATCTACCTATCTATCTCCATCCATATCTATCTATCTATCTATCTATCTATCTATCTATCTATCTATCTATCTATCTATCTATCTATCTATCTATCATCTCTATCTCATCTGTCTACCTATCTACCCACTCACCTGTCCGTCCATCCATCCATCCATCCATCCGGCAGGAATGTGTGAAGAGGGCATTTGTTTGAGGAAAATGGTCTTGAAGTTTATTTCTTTTTCTGGCTGCTTTCACTCCAAGTTGGGCTTGAGGGGTCTGGAGCAGGGAGATGGGACCATTGCTGAGCCCTTCAGGATGTTATGGAGACATCAGGTGAGGAGCCAAGTCAGCCTGGATAGTTTAATCTTGATTAAGCTTTTGGTTTTTTTTTGGGGGGGGGGGTAGGCTAGTTGCAGAATTTTGTGAAACCCGGTTCCTTGGGCAAGTATGGCTAGTCCTTGATCTACAATAATTCATTTAGTTAGCATTCAAAGTTATAATGACAGGAAAGGAAGGAAGAAAGAAAGAAAGAAAGAAAGAAAGAAAGAAAGAAAGAAAGAAAGAAAGAAAGAAAGAAAGAAAGAAAGAAAGAAAGAAAGAGAAAGGAAGGAAGGAAGGAAGGAAGGAAGAAAGAAAGAAAGAAAGAAGAGAGGAGGGAAGATAGGAAGAGGGAGGAAGAAAAGAAGGGAGGAAGGGAGGAAAGGGGAGGGAGGAAGGAAGAAAATGAGGGAGGGAGGGAAGAAGAAAGAAAGAGAGAGAAGAAAGAAAGAAAGAAAAAAGAGGGAGGGAGGGAGGGAGGAAGGAACAAGGGAGGAAGAGAAGGGAAAGGAAGAAGGGAGGGAGGGAGGAAAGAAGGAAGGAAAAGAGAGGGATGAAGGAAGGAGAAAGATGGATTATCTGCCTCAATCAAGAAAAAATTTGCAATTGCATAGATCTTCCCTCCCTCCCTCCCTCCCTCCCTCCCTTCCTTCCTTCCTCCCTCCCTCCCTCCCTCTTCCAAGCCTCAGCCTCCTCTGGCTTCTTTGCAGCTGAGGCAAGGCAAGGATGGCTGACTTTGCCACTATCCATCCTCATCTGTATGGAGGCAGTTCCCATGGCAACGGCCAATCGGAAAAAGAGGATGCTGCCAGCCCAGGCCCAGCCAGCTGGGCAGGCAGGCTTCATGGTTAAGTCTGGGGGGGGGGACAGGGGAGGGGAGGGATACGCTGGCTTTGCCACCCACAGGGAGGGAGGGTCCGTTTTCTGCGTACCCACAACCAGCTTCTGATTCCAAGGGGTGCAAGGGAGCCCCAGTTTCGAGGGAAAATCCTGGTGGCGTCACCCCTCATCATTTTTCCGACTTCTCCTGCCTCTTTCGGGGGCTCAGGCCCTCTTCTGTACCACAGGCTGGTGGTCCTGGGTTCGAATGTTGACGGTTGACTGGGGAATCTCTTTCCCCCCCCAAATAATTTTTATCAACAGTTTGAATAAAACAATAAAGGAGGGGAGAGAGAGAGAGAATAAGAAAAGAATTGCAAGAAAAAGTAACGTACGAAGAAAAAGAAACCCTTTTCCTTTCCTAAGGAAATGACTCCCTACTTTCTTCATGGAAAGTATAAATAATTCGCTAATCTTTCCACCTCCTCTTAACTCACAAATATAAAATTTCATTCCATATTCCATTTCTTAACAATAAGGAAATCAAATTACAGGCAGTTCTCAACTTACAACCATTCAAATTTATAGCAGCGCTGAAAAAGTGACTTAGGACCGTTTTTCACACTTACGACCGTTGTAGCATCTTTTGTGGTCATGCCATCCAAATTTGGGCACTTGGCAACTGGCTGGCATGTATTCCTGGCGGTTGCTTTGTCCCAGGGTCATGTGATCAGCATTTCCAACCTTCCCAGCCAGCTTCTGACAAGCAAAGTCAATGGGGGAAGCCGGATTCGCTTCATGATGGCATGATTCACTTAATGACCGCAGCGTAATAGCAGTGACCAAAAAAAAAAAAAAGGATGTTAAAACTCCCTTAACAACTGCTTTCCGTAGCAATGGAAATTTGGGACTCAATTGTGGTCCTAAGTTGAGGATTCTTCCCTGTAAGTAAAATCTTCAATCCAATTATCAGCAAAATTATCAGTTCCTTCTGTCGGGACCTGAAGACTTGGCTATTCAAACAAATAGGCTGACTCTGATTCCGGGCTTTATTATTTACTATTAATTACTTATTTGGTTTAAAATGGGATTTTATTGTACTTGTTTCTTAACTTGTGTTCACCGCCCTGAATCCTTCGGGAGAATGGCAGCATATAAATACATGTAATAAATAAATAAATAAATAAATAAATAAATAAATAAATAAATAAATAAATAAATAAATACTCTAAGATATTAACGTTAATTAACAAACAGGTGATCCTTGACGTACACCTACAGTTGGGGCCAGCATTTCCTATTGCAAACCAAAGTGCTAACAGAATAACTGAGTTGGAAGGGACCTCGGAGGTCTTCTAGTCCAGCCCTCTGCTAAAGCAGGAGACCCTACATTGTAGGGCCTACAACGTTTGAGACAAATGGTTGTCCAATCTCTTCTTGAACTCCTCCAGTGATGGAGCACCCATAACTTCTGGAGGCAACTCATTTCACCGGTGAATTCTTCTCACTGGTCAGAAAATTCCTGCTTAATCCCAGGTTGCTTCTCCCCAATTAGTTTCCATCCCTTGCTTCTTCTCCTGCCTTCAGGGGCTTTGGAGAATAGGTGGGAAACCCCCATCCCCCCCTGCTCTTCTTTCTGGCAGCTGCTTAGATATTAGAATATTGGAATAAATGCTTGTTTTTGTTTTTTTGTTTTTTTTTAAATTTGATTTATACGCCGCCCTTCTCCGGAGACTCAGGGCGGCTTACAGTGTGCTAAGCAATAGCCTTCATCCTTTTGTATATTTATACAAAGTCAGCTTATTGCCCCCACAAACTGGGTCCTCATTTTACCTACCTTAGAAAGGATGGAAGGCTGAGTCAACCTTGAGCCTGGCGAGATTCGAACTTGCAGTAATTGCAGGCAGCTGGTGTTAAATTACAGTGCTTTAGTCTGCTGCGCTACCAGGGCTCCTATCCTCCTCCTCCTTCTTCCTCCTCCTCCTCCTTCTTCCTCCTCCTCCTCCTCCTCCTCCTTCTGCTTCCTCCTCCTCCTCCTCCTCCTCCTCCTCCTCCTCCTCTTCTTCTCCTTCTCCTCCTCCTCCTCTTCTTCTTCTCCTCCTCCTCCTCCTCCTCCTCCTCCTCCTCTTCTTCTTCTTCTTTTTTAAAATTTGATTTATATGCCACCCTTCTCCAGAGACTCAGGGCGGCTTACAATGCGCTAAGCAATAGCCTTCATCCTTTTGTATATTTATACAAAGTCAGCTTATTGCCCCCACAAACCGGGTCCTCATTTCACCTACCTTAGAAAGGATGGAAGGCTGAGTCGACCTTGAGCCTGGGGAGATTCGAACCTGCAGAAATTGCAGACAGCTGGTGTTAATCACAATGCTTTCAGTCTGCTGAGCCACCAGGCCCTCCCTCTTTCCCTCCCTCCCTCCCTTTCTTTCCTTCTTTCTTTTTTCCTCCCTCCCTTTTTTCTTTCTTTCTTTCTTTCTTTCCTTCCTTTCTCTTTTCCTTCCTTTTTCTTTCTTTCTTTCCCTCCCTCCCTTTCTTTCCCTCCTTCCCTCCCTTCTTTATCTTTCCTTTTTTTTCCTCCCTCCCTTCTTTTTCTTTCTTTCTCTCTCTTTCTTTCCCTCCCTTTCTTTCTTTCCTTCTTTCTTTTTCCTCCCTCCCTCCCTTCTTTTTCTTTCTTTCTTTCTTTCCTTTCTTTTCCTTTCTTTTCCTTTCCTTCCCTCCCTCCCTCCTTTCTTTCCCTCCTTCCCTCCCTTCTTTATCTTTCCTTCTTTTTTTTTCCTCCCTCCCTCCCTTCTTTTTCTTTCTTTCTTTCTTTCTCTCTCTCTCTCTTTCTTTTTTTTTTTTGAAATTTGATTTATATGCCGCCCTTCTCTGGAGACTCAGGGCGGCTTACAATGCGTTAAGCAATAGCCTTCATCCTTTTGTATATTTATACAAAGTCAGCTTATTGCCCCCACAAACTGGGTCCTCAATTTACCTACCTTAGAAAGGATGGAAGGCTGAGTCAACCTTGAGCCTTGGCGAGATTCGAACCTGCAGTAATTGCAGGCAGCTGGTGTTAATCACAATGCTATCAGTCTGCTGAGCTATCCAGGCTCTTGTTCAGGGAGCCATGTCTGCTTTTACCACCTAATTCTGTGATGGAGAATCTGTGGCATGCATGCCAGAGGTGGCAGCCATGCCAGAGGTGGCACGCAGAGCCTTCTTTGTGGGCACACGCGCCGTCACCAACGGCTCTTTTGGTTTCCGGCGCTGATCTTCGCGCATGCCGGAGCCCCCGGAAATTCGAAGACCAGCTGGATGGCGCATATGTGCATGCTAGAACCCAAAAGACCAGGTGCGCATGAGTGCGGCAGCCAGCTGGTCTTCGAGTTTCCAGGGCTCCTCCGGCACGTCCATGCGCGCTCCGGTTTGGGCACTCGGTGCTGGCTGAAAAGGTTCGCCCTTACTGACCTAGTTTGCATTGGTTGTTAAGTGAACCGTGCAGTCACTAAACGAGTCGAGTGGTTGTTAAGCTTATCCTGGGGTCATTAGCTTCGTCCCCCGTTGTCTTTGCTTGTCAGAAGTCTGCTGAGAACGGCAATCGTAGGACTCTGGGACACTGAAACCGTTGTAAATCCATGTACGGTTGCTAAATGCTTAAATTTTATTCACGTGACCCTGGGTGGCTGTGATAGTTAAGGGTCGTCATTATTTTTATTTTATTTTATTAAATTTCTATACCGCCCTTCTCCTGAAGGACTCAGGGCGGTGAACAGCCACAAGATTAAAACACATAAATACAAAAATTTAAAATAAATTAAAAACGAATTAAATAATTTGGCTGAATTTAAAATACCCCATAATTTAAAAACAATTTAAAATTTACATTTAAAAAGGGGAGAAGATTTAGGCCAGGCCAGCTTGATGAAATAAAAAAGTCTTAAGCGCGCGACGGAAGGTGCACAGATCCGGGATCCTCCGTATCTCCGGGGGGAGCTCATTCCAGATGGTAGGTGCCCCCACAGAGAAGGCCCTCCCCCTGGGGGCCGCCAGTCGACATTGTTTGGCCGACGGCACCCGGAGGAGCCCCTCTCTATGAGAGCGTACCGGCCGGTGGGAGGCTATTGGTGGTAGCAGGCGGTCCCATAGATAACCAGGTCCTCAGCCATGGAGCGCTTTAAAGGTGGTGACCAAAACCTTGAAGCGCACCCGGAAGACCACCGGGAGCCAGTGCAGCTCGCGCAGGAGAGGCGTTACATGGGAACTCCACGTCGCTCCCGTCACCACCCGCGCGGGCCGCACTCTGCGCCAGTTGGAGCCTCCGGGTGCTCCTCAAGGGGAGCCCCATGTAGAGAGCGTTACAGTAGTCCAGACGAGAGGTGACGAGGGCGTGAATCATGCTTTACGGTGCTGTTGTCAAAGAGATGCTAAACATCTGTTTATGTTTATTATTAGCCGCCCAGAGTCCCTCGGGAGTTGGGCGGCATAAAAATGCAACAAATAAATAAATAAATAAATAAATAAATAAATAAATAAATAAATAAATAAATAAATAAATAAATAAGTGTCAAATAGAATACCAACCTAGAAATAAGGAGAAACTTCCTAACAGTGACAAAAATTAACCAGTGGAACAACTTGCCACCAGAAGTTATGGGTGCTTCTTCACTGGAGGTTTTTAAAAAGAGACTGGACAGCCATTTGTCTGGGATGGAATAAGGTCTCCTGCTCGAGCAGAGGGCTGGACTAGAAGACCTCCGAGTTCCCTTTCAACCCTGGGATTCTATGTACAGGTAGTCCTTGATTTACAACAGTTCACGTACTGAGCTTTGAAGCTTTGAAGCTCTGCCCTGTTAAATGTAAATTTTAATTTGTTTTTTAAATTATTGGGTATTTTAATTTGTCTCAGACAAATTATTTAATTCGTTTTTATTCTATTTTAAATTTTTGTATTTATGTGTTTTATTCTGTGGCTGTTCACCGCCCTGAGTCCTTCAGGAGTAGGGCGGTATACAAATCCAATAAAAACAAAAACAAACAAAAAGGTTAAAACGGCACTGAAATAAGCGACTTATGACCATTTTTCATACTTATGACCATTGCAGCCTCCCCATAGTTACGTGACTTACATTCAGATACCGGACAACTGACTCATATTTATGACGGTTGCAGTGTCCTGGGGTCACGCCAGAGGTGGGTTTCAGCAGGTTCTGACCAGTTCTGGAGAACCGGTAGCAGAAATTTTGAGTAGTTTGGAGAACCGGTAGTAAAAATTCTGATTGGCCCCACCCACATCTATTCTCTGCCTCCCGAGTCCCAGCTGATCGGGAAGAAATGGGGATTTTGCAGTATCCTTCTCCTGGAGTGGGGTGGGAATGGAGATTTTACAGTATCCTTCCCCTGCCACGCCCACCAAGCCACGCCACGTCCACCAAGCCACACCCACAGAACCGGTAGTAAAAAAATTTGAAACCCACCACTGGGTCACGCAATAATCTTTTGCGAACTTCTAACAAGCAAAATAAATGGGGGTGGGGAGTCAGATTCACTTAACAACAGTGTTACTAACTAACGGCAGTGATTCACTTAACGACTGTGGCAAGAATGGTCATAAAATGGGGCGAAACTCACTTAACTTTCTGGCTTTGTTTTTTGTTTTATTAGATTACGGTTTAGCAGCAGAAATTTTGGACTCAATTTGTGGTCGTAATTCGAGGACTACCTATAATTCTGTGTTTAATCCAGTCTGACCTGTCCATTTGCGCCCTGCAGGACTGATGGCCACGGCGGGAGAGCACGTGTGTGGCTGCCAGCGGGGTCCAAATATGGAGCAGGGCAAATGGTACGGCGTCCGTTCGTACTTGCACCTGTTCTATGAGGATTGCACCGGCAACCGTTCGGAAGACAGTTTTGAAGATGCTGCTACGTCTCCCGCCAAGAGTGGCCAGACTTATGTCTTCTGGAAGGTGAGTTTCAACGTGCCTTGCTTTGTGGCACGTTCTCTGAGTGCATACAGAGTGCCTTCCCACCACACTCAAGACTGCAAGTGGGGAGATTATTTTATCGGTTAAATTTATAGAACGTCTGTCGAAACGATCCTGTAGAAAGTTAGCATCCACCCTTTTCCTAGAACCGTGATGGCGAACCTATGGCACACGTGCCACAGGTGGCACTTGTAGCCATATCAGTGGGCATGCGAGCTCAGCTCCAACGCGGCCTTCTGGGCCCACCAGAAGTAGAAAAACAGGCTGTTTCCTGCCTCCGGAGGGCCTTGGTGGGTGGTGGGGAAGGCCCGTTTTTTGCTGTCCCCAGCCTCCAGAGCCTTTCTAGGAGTCTGGGGAGGGCGAAAATGGCCTTGCCCACCCCCTGGAGGCCAGAAATGGCCCATTTGCCAACTTCCGGTAGGACAGGAAGTTGGCAAACGGGCTGTTTTCGGCCTCCAGAGGGCCTCCGGAGAGTGGGGAAGACTGTTTTCACCCTCCCCAGACTCCTAGAAAGGCTCTGGAGCCAGGTGAGAGAGAAAAATGGGCCTACTGGGCCATTGCGTACTGGGAGCGGTGGGGTGTCGCACACGCATGCACGGGGCACATAGAATTATGGGTGTGGGCATGCGCACACGTGACACCACCCCCGCCCCCCCTCCTGGCACGTGATGGCAAAAAGGTTAGCCATCACTGTCCTAGAAGAAGGAAATGTTTTAGGAAATATTAAAAAGGCAGAATATTTCCCCTAACAGAGGCACAGCGCGCTGGTCCTTTCCTATTTCCCGGACAGCCTCGCAGGCCAGATCTAAGCACCCCGTGTACCGGATCCAAACCCCCCCCCCCAGGCCTTGAGTTTGATACCCCTGCTCTAAAAGGCTGCAAATGACCAGCTGTCTTGCAAGGAATATAAATCCTTCCCTTCCCCACCATCCAGTCAGAGCTGAAGAAGCTTCTTGGATGAGAAGCAAAAGTTCTTCAAAAAAAAAAAAGTCTAGTTGCCTCCTGAAAAAAAGCAATTTTGGATTAAAGTGGGCAAGTTTGGAGACCCCCTACTCTAGGTTAGGCGGCTAAGTGGGAAAACCACTGACTCAGTGGGGGGAAATGTTGGGTTGGAGGAAGGAAACATATGGTGGAAGGTTACATAGGGCTTTTGAGAAATTGGGGCTGGGGAGGGAGAGCTGATTTGCAGCCCCCTCCTCTTTCTACTCAGGACACATCTGGAATCCCCTTTGCTTAGCCTCTGGGATGGCTCTGGCGCCACCTGCAGGAAAGGAGTGGGATCGTTAGTGGACCACTTAGGACAAGTGGACTTCAACTCCCAGAATTCCCCAGCCAGAAATGCTTTGATTTAAGATTGATTTCAGTGTAGGAAGGTAAGAAGGCTCCAGAAAAGAGGATTGTGCATGGAAAGGCAAGTTCTTCACATACGGCCAGTAGTGGGTAGCTGCCGGTTCGGGAAAACTGGTAGTTCTGACCAGGGCTGGCCCCGCCCACCAACCCTGGCGCTATCACGATGTCAGCACTTCAAGCTGCATTTACTCTAGTGCTGACATAAGAAGGAGAAGCGGAGGCATCTGGAAAGGGACGTTTGACTTTTCACCTACTTATTTTCCCTGGAGATAATATCCCCTAGGAGATGGGATGGGAGGGGGGAAATTCCTTTGAGCTGGAGCAGTAGATTAGGGGTAGAGTGACTTGGAAGATGGCCAATGAGTGCAGAGGAGTGGGGAACGGAAAGGGAGGGTTTTGGGTCTGGAAGTCAGTGTTGGCTACGATGGAGTCGGAGTTAGAATGTCGTGCTTAATAAATGGGAGTTTTTCATCAAAGACTTTGTTTGAAATGCAATTTATTTGAGACGACCTCGAAACCTGACACACGTCCTATATAATCGCCGGTTTTTCTATGCCACAAGCGCTCACATTTTCAGTTCCAGGGCAAACCGGTTGTTACAACCAGCGGCAGCCCACTCCTGCATACAGCCTTCACCCCCCCCCCCAAATCATGCATTCACACAACAAAGCCAATCAGCTCACTGAACGAGTTTGTAGAGATTCTCAATCATCCAGGTCATGGTTGTCCCAAAAGTGATTTTTTTCAGGAAGCAACTGGACTTCCGTGTTTTTTCCTTCGAAGGCTTTTCATTTCTCATCCAAGAAGCTTCTTCATCTCTGACAGGATAGTAGGGAACGGAAGGATTTATATTCTGTTGGAAGAAATTTCTCTGGTTCGTTCCTGGCAGGGAAGCCGTCAATGATGCTGAGAAGGAATAGACATGGAAGCCAGCTGCCAGAAAAGGGATCCTTTAATTCAGGAAGGCAAGAAAAGTAGCGACACAGCTGGAGCGTTCCTGGTTTGCAAACAAATTTGGAAGTGTGACTCTGAGCCAGGGGTGAAATCCAGCAGGTTCTGACAGGTTCTGGAGAACTGGTAGTGGAAAGTTTGAGCACCGTCAAGTGCCACCTCTGGCTGGCCCCAGAGTGGGGAGGGAATGGGGATTTTTTTTAAATTTGATTTATATGCCGCCCTTCTCCGGAGACTCAGGGTGGCTTACAATGCGTTAAGCAATAGCCTTCATCCTTTTGTATATTTATACAAAGTCAGCTTATTGCCCCCACAAACTGGGTCCTCATTTCACCTACCTTAGAAAGGATGGAAGGCTGAGTCAACCTTGAGCCTTGGCGAGATTCGAACCTGCAGTAATTGCAGGCAGCTGTGTTAATAACAGGGTGCTTTAAACCACTGTACTACCAAGGCTCATAAAAGGCTCATTTTGCAGTATCTTTCGCCTGCCATGCCCACCAAGCCACTCCCACAGAACCAGTAGTAAAAAAATTTGAATTCCACTACTGCCGTGAGCCTTTTATGCTTAATTCTCCTTTGAAGTTCCTACAGCTTGATGGGTTTTGATGCGTTTCTGATTGCCCTGGGTTTTGTTTTCCTGGGTTAATCTTGGTCCCAGGTCTTTTGTTATTCCTGTCCTAGGAGTTAATCCTGTCAGGGAGGCATGAAAAAGGGAGTTTTGGTTTACCTTGGAGAGTTTATTTTTAGCCCGATTCCCCTTATCTTAATGGCTCTACTTAAGTGTTCCTTTCAGCTAGTGCTTTTGCCTGGGGTTTTCTTAAAGGGGAAAGGGCTGGGTTGAGTCTCTTGGCATTATTTTTTGCAGGTTTCTGGCGCTGTCCTTTTGGGGTATACTACTTCCCACAATTCCTTGCAGACAGCTGGACATTTGCATCCTTTTAGAGGGTCATTGAGGCCACTTGGGGGTTTATCTGTGTCCTCAGGGTCACCTGAGTGGTGCAAATGGGTTCCTGTAGTCTGCAATTGTTTTCCTCTGGAAATCCATTCCTACGCTCACACCATTCGAAGGATGTTCATCCCAAATTGCATGGCTAAAAAAATCTATGGAGATTCCAAGTCATTCAGGTCATGGTTGTTCCAAAAGTGACAAATGGACAAATGACCAGCTGCCTGCAAGGGATATAAATCCTTCCATTCCCCACTGTTCTGTCAGAGCTGAAGAAGCTTCTTGGATGAGAAGTGAAACATCTTCAAAGAAAAAAACAAGAAAGTCCAGTTGACTCCTGAAAAAACACCTTTGGGGCACTGAAAGAGTTAATATGCTGCTTTTATGCAGCACACTAAACTTGGTTAGTAGTAATTTGTTGATTTGTTTATTTTTGGGCTTAGCCAGTACAGGTAATCCTCTAAAGAGCCTTGGTAGTACAGTGGTCTAAGACACCCTGTTATTAAGCTGGTTATTAAGACCAGATGCTTGCAATTTCTGCAGGTTCGAATCTCCCAGGCTCAAGGTTGACTCAGCCTTCCATCCTTTCTAAGGTAGGTGAAATGAGGACCCAGTTTGTGGGGGCAATAAGCTGACTTTGTATAAACCTACAAAAGGATGAAGGCTATTGCTTAGCGCATTGTAAGCCGCCCTGAGTCTCCAGAGAAGGGCGGCATATAAATCAAATTCAAATAAAATAAAATAAAATAATTAAACATTTGTATAGAGAGCATTCAAAGGTGCAATGGCAGTGAAAAAAGTGACTTTTGAGAGTTTTCCACACTTACGACCGTTGTAGCACCTCCCCCCCCACACCCTTCCCCCACCCCCACGCGATCAAACTTGGCAACTGACTCACATTTATGATGGTTACTGCATCCTAAGGTTATGGGATCCCCTTTTTCCACCTTCAGACAAGCAAAGGCAAAGGGGGAAGATTCGTTTAACGACCACACGGCTCACTTAACTGAGCTGCAGGGATTGGCTGAGCAACCGTGGCAAGACAAGGCTGCAAAAATGGGGCAGGACTCACTTAATAACAACAGTCCTGCTTAGCAAAGGAAATGTTGTGCTCCTTTGCGGTCGTAAGTCGAGGACCACCTGTAAAATCTCCCAATGACCATTGCAAAGCATTCTTTGGAATTAGCGCGCAAGGATGCGACCGTATCTCTCGTTCTTCCTTCTCCTTTCAAGGTGACGCTTTCAGCCGCGACTCTGCTGTTGCTGACCGGCCTGGCGGCTATAACCACGGGGTCCCTCCTGCCCTCCAAGTTGGAAGACATCGGTGAAGCCGAGTTTGTGGTATTGGACCAGCGAGCCGTAGAGTACAACGGTGCCCTGGGCATCTCCCGAGCTGTCGGGGTGGCGCTGTGCACCGTTGCTGGGGTGCTGTTGGTGGCCTCGGTTGTATTGTTTAGGCTCGGCAGAAGAAACCGGACTGGCTGTCCAGGTGAAGATGGCAAGGAAGAGCAGCTGTCGCCCATCTTGCAGGAAAATGCCCCCCATCCGTGGGGTACCGTCGTCTCAGCGACCCCTGCCCCTTTCCAGGTCTCCTGGGTGCAGGGCGTCCAGCCCAAGAGAGAGATGTGAATTCAGATTCACCAAAAGCTCTTAAGGCTCAAAGTTTCTCAACTTTCAAGATCGGTGGACTTCAACTCCCAGAATTCCCCAGCCAGCGCATGCGCTGGCTGGGGAATTCTGGGAGATGAAGTCCTCCAATCCATAGCTGTGCGTAGGTGTATCCCCACCTCCCAGAGACAGATGCTGTTTTTCATTGTTAACAGCCTCCCTGGAGGATCCGTGGTAGGAGAAAAGGTGCCCTTCCCCCTCGCCTCTGCGGAACTCACAGGTAGACTGCTCTTAAGGCCGGAGGTTCTGTTTCACTAGCCTTAGGTAAACAGAACCTTCCGTACCAAGGGAGGAAGCAGAGAAAAAAGAGAAACCGGCTTGGAGAAAGTGACATAATATTTTCATTCTGCAAATCCTGAAACAAAAAATATATTTGGTATGTAAAAAAAAAAAAAAAAGGAGAAATTTTCCAAAGTCAGAAACAAACCTGGAGGAGAATCCCATGTTGCAAAAACTCAAATATTATTATTCTGATTTGGATACAGATTGGATACAGATTAAAGGAGTTGGAAGGGACCTTGTAGGTCATCTAGTCCAACCCCACGCACCCAAGCATTTTTTTTCCCCAGTTCAGGCCTGCTAACAGCTCAGTTTATTCAAGACAGGTAGTCCTCGTTTAACGACCGTTCCAAGTTACAACGGCATTGAAAAAAGTGAGTTAGGGACGTCCTCACCCTTACGACCTTATGGTCACGTGAACTAAATTCGGGTGCTTGGCAACTCGCATGTATGTAGGATGGTTGCGGCAATCCAGGGTCATGTGATGCCCATGTGCCACCTTCCCATCCAGTTTCCGACCGGTAAAGTCAATAGGGGAAGCTGGATTTGCTTAATGACCGTGTGATTCATTTAACAACTGCCGTGATTTGCCTAACAGCCATGGGGAAAAAAAGTTGTATAATTGGGCATGACTCACTTAACAACCACTTTGCTTAGCAGCTGAAATTCTGGCCCCAATTGTGGTCGTAAATCGAGGACTTGCAAGGCCAAGGCAGGATCTACCTCCCTATTTCTGCTTTGGTATCTTCCTTCAGTTCCTGAATTACCCCTTGTTTTAACTTGGGAGATGCCCAAAGTTGGAGGGGAGGAACCAAGCAGAGAGATCCACCCCTTTACTATTTCAGTGCCCTGATTGGCAGGTATCTCTTTGCTGATTGGGGGTGAGCAGAAGGAGGTGGGCAACGAAACCAATCATGAGCAGCAGATGCACCAATCAGGAGAAGCCATTTGACTTGGAAAAGACAAGAAGTGGGAGGAGAATCAGCTGTGGAGTGAGGCAGCTACTTTTAAGGCGGTACCATTTTCTGACTCCAGGAAGGGGGTGAACAGCATGGCGGGAAAGACCATCAGAGACACAGGGGAGGGCAGCTGTGTAAAACCTCTCTCCCTTCATGTGGTCGTCTGCTTGAATGAAGAGACCAGCTTAGAATAATAAAGACTGAAATGAGTGCATTTGCTGGGATTAATCATGGCTTGGTGTGAGGGTGTGGGGGTGGGACACGTTTTAAAAATATAATCTTGCATTTCTCAAGAGAATTCCAGGCAGTCAGGAGTGTGTCTGGATGTCCCTTCCTCTTATTCCCACAACAACCCTTTGAGGTAGGCTGATCCGAATGAGCCTTTCATTGCATACAGCTCTCAAAAGGGTCACCATTTCCAATACAAACTACCTAACCATGGCAGAATAAATTCAAAATTATGCATACACTCACATATATGACAGAGAAACAATGCACAGACCCCTTGCAAAATCTTGCAAAACCTACTTGCAAAATCCGGCCATCGGAGGGTCACCGAAACATTTCCTGACCTTCCTTCCTTCTGTCCGGCTCATAAAAAGCACAGCTTGCTCCTGTAAAGATAGTCCTCTACTTATGACCATCTGTTTAGTGACCAAAGTTGCTGGGGGGAAAAAAGTGACTTACGACCTGTTATTCACACTTACGACTGTTGCGGCATCCTCACGGTGACGTGATCAAAATTCGGACGCTTGGCAACTGACTCCTACTTACGACGGTGGCAGTGTGGTGGTGGGGTCATTCCCTTTTGTGACTTTCGGACAAAGCAAAAGTCAAATAGGGAAGCCGGATTCGCTTAACGACCGTGGCAAGAAAGGATGCAAAACGGGGCAAAATTCACAACTGCCTTGCTTAGCGACAGAAATGGTGTGCTCCGCTGTGGTCGTAAGTCGAGGACTACCTGCACAGGTAGTCCTCGACTTACAACAGCTCATTCAGTGACCGCTCAAATTTACAACAGCACTGAAAAACGTGACATGACCTTTGAACCATCCCCACGATCACGTGATCAAAATTCAGATGCTCGGCAACTGCTTCATACTTATGACTGCCGCTGTGTTCCGAGGTCATGACCTCCTGACGAGCAAAATCAACGGGGAAGACAGATTCACTTAATAACCATATTACTAACTTATTAACTGCAGTGATTCACCTAACAGCTGTGGCAAAAAAGGTCGTAAAACGGAGCAAAACTCACTTAACCAAGGTCTCCCTTAACAACAGCAATTTGGGGCTCCGTTGTGGTCGTAAGTCAGGGACGACCTGCATTGCATTTGGCAACAAGAGATCATGGGACTGGGATGCGGCCCAGGAAATTCACTTGAAATCCCAAATGCAGCAACTCTTGACAGGATGCTCATCCGTTTCCCATTTCAGCTGACCGACATTTCCTGAAAAACTGTCCAACTTTTCTGGTTTTCCCACAGTCCAAGGTCAGCGAAGTAGCGGAGGCCATGTCCGCTGGCTAATTCTGGACGGAAATGCTTCTCTTAAAGCAGGGGTTCCCAACCGGGGGGTGCTCGCCCTTCTTGGGGGGGGGGTGCGAGATGATATTCCACGGGGTGCAAAAACTTGGGTTTAGAGGTTTCAAAATTATAGTGTATATGTATAATTATATGCATATACCGTATTTTTCGGTCTATAAGACGCCCCTAGATTTACAGGAGGGAAAACAAGAAAAAAGAATTGTTTTCGGCCTCCGCGCATCACGTTTTCGCCCTCCCCGGCTCCCAGAAGCACTCTGCAATGCTCCACATGTCCCATTTTCTCCAAAAACAGGGCTGCTTTTGGCCTGCAGAGTGCTTTTGGGGCAGTGGTGGGTTTCAAATTTTTTTTACTACCGGTTCTGTGGGCGTGGCTGGGGAAGGATACTGTAAAATCTCCATTCCCTCCCCACTCCAGGGGAAGAATACTGCCAAATCCCCATTTCCTCCCGATCAGCTGGGACTCGGAAGGCAGAGAATAGATGGGCGTCAGTCAGAATTTTTAGTACCGGTTCTCCGAATGACTCAAAATTTCCGCTACCGGTTCTCCAGAATTGGTCAGAACCTGCTGAAACCCACCTCTGTTCTGGGGCCTGGGGAGGTCGAAAACACGAGGCACGGAGGGTTCGGGAGCCCAAAAAAATGTGCCCGTATTCGGTCTATAAGACGCACCGAAATTTCCACCCGCTTTTAGGAGAAGGAGTGCGTCTTATACTCTGAAAAATATAGTAATTACTTATTTTTTTTTAAGGGATGCGAGAATATATCAGAAGCATTCTAGGGGTACAGGATATAGAGAAGATTAGGAACCCCCGTTTTAAAGACTTTCTTGGGGCCCAAGAAGGACGAGGGAGGGAGCCTGCTTTTCTATCACCAAAACTGCTGGGTTTGTACCGTCCATGAGTGGCAAGAGTTGCCAGCGAGGGTTACAGGCCGGGAGGACCCAAAGCTCCAAAAAGTGGCTAAATCCAAGCAGTTGCACATCCAATGCATCCAGTTTTGGTCCGCACAACATAAAAGAGATGTTGAGAGACTCTGGAGAAAGAGCAAAGAAAAAGAGTCCTAATAGACAATCACTTAAACAAGTCTTCAGAGTGTGGCGGCAGCCAAAAAAAGCAAATAGAACACTAGGTTGCATAGAATCAAAATCATGTGAAATATTAGTACCGTTTGATAAAGCCAGTGTTGATCACCATATTGCAAAAAAAAAAAAAAAAAAAACCGGTTGTTGAGATTTTGGAAAAAGTGCAGAGAAGAGCAACTAAGAGGATTAAAGGCCTGGAGAGTTGTTTTGTTTGTTTGTTTGTTTGTTTTATTAAATTTATATACCGCCCTAGTCCCGAAGGACTCAGGGCGGTGAACAGGCACAAAATAAAATACATAGATACAAAAGTTAAAAAACATAATTAAAACCAGATTAAATAATTTAGCCCGAGACAATTAAAAATCCCAATAATTTAAAACAGATTAAAATTTTGATTTAAAAGAATTTTAAAACAGGGGAGAAAATTAGGCTAGGCCAGCCTGATGGAATAAAAAGGTCTTGAGAGTGCGGCGGAAGGTGCGCAGATCCGGGATCCTCCGTATCTCCGGGGGGAGCTCGTTCCAGATCGTAGGTGCCCCCACAGAGAAGGCTCTCCCCCTAGGGGCTGACAGCCGACATTGTTTGGCTGATGGCACCCGGAGGAGCCCCTCTCTGTGGGAGCGTACTGGTCGGTGGGAGGCTGTTGGTGGTAGTAGGCGGTCCCGTAAGTAACCAGGTCCTAAGCCATGGAGCGCTCTGAAGGTGGTAACCAAAACCTTGAAGCGCACCCGGAAGACCACCGGGAGCCAGTGCAGCTCGCGCAGGAGAGGTGTCACACGGGAGCACCATGTCGCTCCCATAACCACCCGCGCGGCCGCACTCTGCGCCAGTTGGAGCCTCCGGGTGCTCCTCAAGGGGAGCCCCATGTAGAGAGCGTTACAGTAGTCCAGGCGGGAAGTGACGAGGGCATGAGTGACTGTGTGTAGGGAGTCCCGATCCAGAAAGGGACGCAACTGGCGAATCAGGCGAACCTGATGAAAAATCCTCCCGGTCACGGCCGTCAAGTGTTCTTCTAAAGACAGCCGTGAATCCAGGAGGACGCCCAAGTTGCGAGCCCTCTCCGTGGGGGCCAGCGATTCGCCCCCAATAGTCAGCGATGGCGTCAACTGACTATATCGGGACGTCGGAAACCACAGCCGCTCGGTCTTGGATGGGTTGAGCCTGAGCCTGTTCCTCCCCATCCAGATCCACACGGCCTCCAGTATTTGAGGGTCTGACCCCAAGAAGAAGGGGGGGGTCAGCCTATTTTCCAAAGAAACAATAGATGGAAACTAATGAAGGAGAGAAGCAGCCTGGAACTAAGGAGAAACTTTCTAGCAGTGAGGACAATTAACCAGTGGAACTGCTTGCCACCAGAAGGTGTGGATGCTTCATCACTGGAGGTTTTCAAGAAGAGAGTGGACAACCATTTGTCTGAAATGGCATAGGGCCGTGATGGTGAACCTATGGCATCCGTGCCACAGGTGGCACGTGTAGCCATATCGGTGGGCACGTGAGCTCAGCTCCAGCGCGCATGTGTGCACCGGCCAGCTGATTTTCAGGCCTTCTGGGTCTACCAGAAGCAGGGAAACAAGCTGTTTCCTGCCTCCAGAGGACCTTGGGGCGGGGGGAAGGCCCGTTTTTCTCTCTCCCCAGCCTCCAGAGCCTTTCTAGGAGTCTGGGGAGGACGAAACAGCCTCCCCCCCCCGGGAGGCCCTCCGGAGGCAAAAAACGGGCCTTCTGGTCCCACCGGAAGTTGACAAACAGGCTGTTTTCGGCCTTCGGAGGGCCTCCAAGGGGCATGGGGAAGGCTGTTTTCGCCCTCCCCAGACTCCTAGAAAGGCCCTGGCTATCACATGCCAGGAGTGTGGGGAGCGTAAGGGGGGGGGTTTGCGCACGCATGCACGGGGGCAGGGGCATAGAATTATGGGTGTAGGCACACACACGCACAAACCCCCCTGCTCCTGGCACGCGATGTCAAAAAGGTTAGCCATCATTGGTATAGGGGGTGAGACTAGAAGATCTCCAAGGTCCCTTCTAACTCTTGTTATTTTGTTCTTCCAGCAAAGGGGCAGGGATAATTGTGAGGTTGTAATTGCTACCTTTAGTTTTTTTACTTCCCTTAGAATAGGGGTCCCTAATCCCCGGGCTGTGGCCCACTACCAGGCTGTGGCCCGTTTGAAACTGGGGAGCGGCGGATGAGTGTGGCAGGTGCTTAACGCTGGCGTGTGACGCTCCATTTGCACGGGCTCACATGTGCGCCTGCATCACACACAACCATCCCCTCTTCTTCCCCCTCTCCATTTCCTACTGGTCCGCCAAGCAAGCCGGAACAGTTGGGGACCGCTGCTTTAGAACATAGAACAGGGAATCCCGGGATTCTGGAAGGGACCTCAGAGGACTTCTAGTCCACCCCTTTGCCCAAGGAAGGAGACCCTTCCACCATTCCTGAACAAATGGTCTTTTTTCCAGTCTTTTTTCTTGAAAACTGCCAATGAGGGAGCACCTACCATTTCTGGAAGCAACGTCTGAATGGCCAGTGTTTTATTTTTAAAAGCGGGTTTTTCAGCCAGTGGGATTTGGGAAATTCTTAATTTTAAAAAGTAAGCCAGATCACAGAAGAACTGAAGGGCTGTTCCCCAGACCTCCTTCCCCGCTGAGTTCAGCTGTTCTCCACCCATCCTGGAGCCAGCAAACATCTAGATTGGCACATTTGCTATCCTGGTGCCAGGATAGCAGTTATTTCCGTGGCCTGTCCCTGCTGGACCCCCCAATTTCCTCCTAAGGAAATGGGGGACAATAACAGATTTCCACCACCACCCCTCCTCCGGGTTGAGACCTTCCCCACCAGAGGGAATAACACCCATGGAGCTAAGAGTGACTTAGACTTTAGAATCAGAATAGAGTTGGAAGGGACCTTGTAGGTCATCTAGTCTAACCCTCCCACTCAAGCAGGAAATCCAATACCATTTCAGACAACTGACTGTCCAGGCTCTTTTTAAAAACCTCCAGTGATGGCAAGCTGTTCCACCAATTAATTGCTCTCACTGTCAGGTTGCTTCTCTCTTTGGTTAGTTTTCAAACATTGTTTGTTTCTTGTCCTGCCTTCTGGTGCTTTGGAGAATAGGGTGCCCCCCTCCTCTTTGTAGCAGCCCCTCAATTGCTAGAAGACTTCTAGTGGGGATTTCTAATGGGGACCAAAACTGGATGCAGGATTCCAGATGTGGCCTTATAAGGCTTTATAATACTAATACTTCACGTGATTTTGATTCTATGCCTCTGTTCATACAACCAAGGATCGTATTAGCTTTTTTGGCTGCTGCTTTCTTTCTTTCTTTCTTTCTTTCTTTTTTCTTTCTTTCTTTCTTTCTTTCTTTCTTTCTTTCTTTCTTTCTTTCTTTCTTTCTTTTCTTTTCTTTTCTTTCTTTCTTTCTTTCTTTTTCTTTTTTCTTTCTCTTTCTTTCTTTTGTCCTTTCTCCTCCTCCTCCTTCTCCTCCCCTCCCTCTCTTTCTTTTTGGCTGCTTAGTTGCTCTTCTCTGAACTTTTTCCAAACTCTCAACCTCTTTTTGGTAGTATGGTGACCAAAATTGGTTGCAGGATTCCAAGTGTGGCCTTACTAAGGCTTTATAAAGCGGTACTAAAACATCACGTGATTTTGATTCTATGTCTCTGTTCATACAACCAAGGATCGTATTAGCTTTTTTGGCGGCTGCCAACACGCCTGGCTCATAGTTAAGTGATTGTCCACTAGGACTCCAAGATCCCTCTCACAGTGACCGGTTTTGAGCCAGGTTTCGCCTAATCTGTACTTGTACCTTTGGTTTTTCCTGCCCAGGTGTAAAACCTTGCTTTTCTCCACATTAAATTTCATATTGTTGGATAGGGCCCGTTGTTCAAGTCTGTCAAGATCGTTTTGGATCCTGAGTTTGTCTTCTGGTGTAGGAAGTTAACACCTACCCCTTTTCCTAGAAGAATGAAATATTTTAGGAAATATTAAAAAGGCAGAATATTATGTTTCCCTGGATGAGAAATGGAGAAGCATGTTTTAAAGACGAAGCAGCTCCCACCTTCTTGCCACCCCCCTTTGTCAATGGGCGAGAGGCAGAAACTCAATTCCCTCCCATCTTTGTCAAAGGACCATCATTTGCAACACAATAGGACCCATCTAGCAACAGAAACTAACACAATAGGACCCATCTAGCAACAGAAACTCACCACATGGCACCTGGGAAGATTACATCAGCCAGCAAGGCTAGCTAAGACCCCCACCCTCTGGGAGTCTGACAACCAATCAGGATACTCTTTCTGGGCCCCAGGAAGTTCAAAGCCAAAGAGGGCATAAAACCTGGGGGACTCGCAGCATCTCGGCCCTTTTCTGTTCAGGAACTCAAACCATGTGATCCTGTCCACCATTAAACCATCTTTCCAAGCAGTCTCCATGTTTCCAGTGTCTTTTTCCCCACTTGGAGCTGAACCCAGAAGGATATTTGTTCCAACACTGGGGTGTTGGCTACTTCAATTCTGGGAGTTGAAGCCCACCCATCTTCAAGTCTAAATTTTTAGCTACATTTTTTTAGCTGGCCTAATTTTTTAAACTTTTTTAATTTTTAAAAATTTTAAAACGGGTGTTTTATTTGAATAGCTGGGCCAAATTATTTAATATAATCTCTTATTTAAGAGCCTTGGTAGTACAGGGGTTTAAGGCACCCTGTTATTAAGCTGGTTATTAAGACCAGCTGCCTGCAATTACTGCAGGGTTCGAATCTCGCCAAGGCTCAAGGTTGACTCAGCCTTCCATCCTTTCTAAGGTAGGTGAAATGAGGACCCAGTTTGTGGGGGCAATAAGCTGACTTTGTATAAATATACAAAAGGATGAAGGCTATTGCTTAACACACTGTAAGCAGCCCTGAGTCTCCGGAGAAGGGCAGCATATAAATCAAATTTTAAAAAAAATGCTTTTAAATTGTTTTTAAATTTTATATTTGTGTGCTTTTACTTTTGGCTGTACACTGCCCTGAGTCCTTCGGGAGAAGGGCGGTATACAAATTGGAATAATAAATAAGTAATAAATAAAAGTCTCCAAGGTGGAGAAACACTGATCTATCTAATTTATACAGTATAATTTTTCTCTCTTTCACTCTCTCACACACACACAAATGTATAGGGCAGCCCAACTCACACACAGGTAACTTGGGGCAACTTATTATGATCTATATGCAAATCGAATTCAGCCAGGTGCCTGTGTGATTCCAACACACCTTTCCCGAGGGAAGGGCTGTGAAACACTGCAAAACTTTTCTTGGTTGCATCACCCTCCCAAGCTTTCACTTTCGCTTGCCCCCACCGCCCACGCCGCTCCCTTTCCAAAGCCAAGCTTCATCCGATTCTAACCAATCCCAGGGCCACTCGGATCTCTTCTTTGCAAACCTCGCCCTGGCCTCTGAGCATGTGCAGAGGTTTTCTTGTTTTCCTTCGCCCGCCCGCCTTCCTTTCCCAGCCCACCCGGCCCTCTGCGCCGCCTTTGCGATTAACCGAGGGGGCCTTTCCCAACCTGGCGCTTTCCAGGTGGAGAGCCACATCTCCCATCATCCCCAGGCGGCCGGCTTGGCCTGGGATGGGAGTTGAAGTCCGACACCCCTGACGATCTGGGGCTGCTGCAAGGAAGTGCGGAGTTTCGGGGGAGGGGGGCTGCGGAAAGCCCCTCTCCCCTAAAGGTTCCTGCCCTTCTAAAGAAGCGGGTCGGGGGCGTTGCGCAGCCCCCTCCCCCGTATCCCCGCACCTCCTTGCAGGAACCCCAAATCAAAAGGGGCGTCGGACTCCCAAGTCCCATCGCAACAGCCCCCAATGGCCAGGGTCATAGGACTCCGAGTCCCATCGCAGCAGCTCCCAAAGACTAGAGTCTTAGGACTCCAAGTCCCATTAGCCCCCAATGATCGTAGGACTCCAAGTCCCATTAGAATAACCCCCAATGGCCAGGGTCTTAGGACTCCATGTCCCATCGCAGCAGCTCCCAAAGACTAGAGTCTTAGGACTCCAAGTCCCATTAGCCCCCAATGGTCGTCGGACTCCAAGTCCCATTAGAACAACCCCCAATCACCAGGGTCTTAGGACTCCAAGTCCCATCGCAGCAGCCCCCAATGGCTAGGGTTTTAGGACTCCAAGTCCCATCGCAGCAGCTCCCAAAGACTAGAGTCTTAGGACTCCAAGTCCCATTAGCCCCCAATGGTCGTAGGACTCCAAGTCCCATTAGAATAACCCCCAATGGCCAGGGTCTTAGGACTCCATGTCCCATCGCAGCAGCTCCCAAAGACTAGAGTCTTAGGACTCCAAGTCCCATTAGCCTCCAATGGTTGTAGGACTCCAAGTCCCATTAGAATAACCCCCAATCACCAGGGTTTTAGGACTCCAAATCCCATCGCAACAGCTCCCAAAGGCCAGAGTCTTAGGACTCCATGTCCCATCGCAGCAGCTCCCAATGGCCAGAGTCTTAGGACTCCAAGTCCGATTAGCCCCCAATGTTCGTCGGACTCCAAATCCCATTAGAACAACCCCCAATCACCAGGGTCTTAAGACTCCAAATCCCATCGCAACAGCCCCAAAGGCCAGGGTCTTAGGACTCCAAGTCCCATCGCAGCAGCCCCAAAGGCCAGAGTCTTAGGACTCCAAGTCCCATTAGCCCCCAATGGTCGTCGGACTCCCAAATCCCATTAGATTAGAACAACCCCCAATGATCAGGGTCGTCGGACTCCAACGCCCATCGCGCACCAGCCCTGCCGCCTGGGGATGATGGGAGCTGGGGCAGCCTCCCCTTCGAAAAGCGTCCCGCAGCGCAGCCTCTGGCGCAATCGGGCTGCAATCGGCGAGGCGGAGCCCGCGGCCGTTCCTGCTGCAATCCGCGCTGCCGGCCGCATCAGCCGGCATCCGAGGAGGAGCCGGAGGCGGAGGGAAGGGAAGGCGGCGCTGCCCGCAGAGCCCAACCCGCTGCGGCCGGGGTTGCATCATCCCCGCGGCTCGGGCTGGAGCAGCGGCGGCTGCGGGGCTCAGACAAAGCGGCTCCACGGGGTCGGTCGCAACGGCGAGGATGGCCCCCAGACGCTGCTGAGACCCCCCCCAAACCCGCCAGGGGTCTTTCCCGGGGTCGCTTCTCCGGGCGAAGGAAGGCAGAGCAGCCCCCCGAAACCCAGTGCACGGCTGCGGTGCGAAGGTAGGGGCAGGCGAGGGGAAAGCCGATTTGGGGAGGGGGTCTTGCTGGGGTGCTGATGCCGCGTGGGGTGGGGGGCGATGATGACAACGCGTTGCAAGCCTTCCATGCAACGGGAGAGTGGGGGGCTTCCTTTCTCCCAATTCTTCCTCTGCCAGGTACTTCGCGGGAGCTTCATCTCCCACCCCATAGAGCCCTTTGTCCATGCTCAGAGGTCCCCCTGTTCACTGAGCCGCCTTTCCCCACCACCGCCTCCAAGCACCGTAAGGACCCTTCTCTCAGTCCCACAGAATTGCAGGTTGACTTTTTTGGGGGTGGGTGGGTGTAGAAAGGTAAACGGGGAAGGGTGGGAAAATTTGAGGAGTGGGGAGCAGAAGGGGAGGGGGCTCCGTTTCAGAGAGAGGCAAAAATCCACCCTTGCAAAAAAATATCTCCCTCCCCCTTGGAGAGTTACTCCAGGTAGAGGTAGAGGTAGAAGTGCCACAGGTGCCACACTCCAGGTAGAGGTGCCACAGGTGCATTCTCAAATGCACGAAGGGGCGGGGGGGGACGACTACAGGCCCCATAATCCTCAGCCGGCCTGGTTTTGAGGTCCGGGAGGTTGGCAGGTTAGGGGGGGGGGGAAAAGAGACTAAGCCACCTCCTGGCACAAATGGTTCAGTGGAGAAGGAAGAATTGGGAGTTGCTGATTCAGCCCCGGCGCATTGCTCAGTACGGCTGCATCATCATCAGCCATGAGTGGCCCATGAAGGAGTCACCCTGGTATGTGCTTGGCACATGGGAAGAGGGCAAAGGCCAGGCCAGGCTGGGATCTGGCACTTTCGGGGCACCCTAGACCATGATTGGACCTGTTTTGCAACTTTGAAATAAGCCCCATAAAATGATTCGCCGATAAACCCCGTTACAAGTAGTCCTCGACTTACGACGGCAATGGAGCCCCCCCCAGTTTCTGTTGCTAAGCGAGACGGTTAAGTGAGTTTTGCCTCACTTTACGACTTTTCTTGCCACGGTTAAGTGGATCACTGCCAATGTGAAGTTAGTAACACAGTCGTTAATGTTAAGTAACATGGTCATTGAGTGGATCACTGCCGATGTTAAGTTAGTAACACAATCTTTAAGTGGATCACTACTGATGTGAAGTTAGTAACACGGTCATTAATGTTAAATTAGTAACATGGTCATTAAGTGGATCACTACTAATGTGAAGTTAGTAACACGGTCATTAATGTTAAATTAGTAACATGGTCATTAAGTGGATCACTACTAATGTGAAGTTAGTAACACGGTCATTAATGTTAAATTAGTAACATGGTCATTAAGTGGATCACTACTAATGTGAAGTTAGTAACACGGTCATTAATGTTAAATTAGTAACATGGTCATTAAGTGGATCACTGCTGATGTGAAGTTAGTAACACAGTCATCAAGTGGATCACTGCCGATGTTAAGTTAGTAACAGTCATTAAGTGGATCACTGCTGGTGTGAACTTAGTAACATGGTCGTTAAAGCGAATCAGGCTTCCCCATTGACTTGGCTTGTCAAAAGGTCGTAAAAGAGGATCGCGTAACCCCGGGACACTGCAACCGTCATAAATGCGAGACAGTTCCCGAGCATTTAAATTTTTAAAATGTTTTTAATTGGTTTGTCACTTTTTAAATTATGGGGCCAAATAAATATATATTCTTTTAATTGTTTTTATTTTATGTTTATTTGTGGCTGTACACCGCCTTGAGTCCTCCGGGAGAAGGGCGGTATATAAATCCAAAAATAAATAAATAAATAAATTTAAACTTCGATCACGTGACCAGGGGGATGCTGCAATGGTCACAAAGTGTGGAAAATGGCCATAAGTCACTTTGTTTTTTTTTCACTGCCATTGCATTTTCAAACAGTCACTAAACGAAGTGTTGTAAATTGAGGACTAGCTGCATTTAGATCAGTCCCTGCTGATGTGCAGGGACTTTCTACAGAAAAATAAGCCAGAGGGGATATATGGTTGCGTGTGCCACTGCTGATTGGTTTTTTATTTTCTCACCTGGGGGCGAGAAGGAACTTTGCCACAGGTGAGCAAAGGTGAGCTGCTTTGCCAACCTCTTGCAACATGCCCTGGATGACTCACTCACCTGTGTGTGGCGAGGGAGAAGGACACCTGAGTTGGCATCTTGGCAAAGCTTTGATTTTGGATAGGAAACCCGGAAAGGGGGCCTTGGTGCTCTCTGAGTGGGTTGGCTTTTTAGGGCAGGTGTTTCAGTACCCAAATTAAGTAATCCAACTAGGTAGGACTAGCACCGATGACGTTACCTAGTCTGAGTAATGAAAAGGGTGAAAATATTCTCCAAAGCACCTGAAGGCAGGACAAGAAGCAACGGATGGAAACTCGTCAAGGAGAGAAGCAACCTGGAATTAAAGAGAAACTTCCTAACAGTGAGGACAATTAACCAGTGGAACTGCTTGCCACTAGAAGTGTGTGTGTGTGTGTGTGTGTGTGTGGGCTCCATCGCTGGAGGTTTTTAAGAAGAGACTGGACAGTCACTTGTCTGGAATGTTATAGGAGTCAGGGGGTTGGACTAGAGGACCTCCAAGGTCCCTTCCATTTCTGCTATTCTGTAACGCTGTTCACACATGTATTTCAAGCTCCACCGCTGAGGCCTGGGAAGATGTTATAGCAAAATAGGGAAAGCGGCGTCCTTGAGGGTCATCATCGTCGGAGCGTTTTCCTTTGTAACTTTGAAAGAATGCAGCTATTGTTCAGGAAATCCAGATTGAGATTGTGAGCAAGAGAGCTGCCTTGTGCTCAGGCTCCTGAGTCAATGCCAGGAGGAACTTACTCTGTCTTTACATCAGCCGCTGTGGCTGCAACGGTGGCGGTCTTGCAGCAGAAGCTTCAAAGCTATTGCATGATTTTTGGACACCTCCTCCTCCTCCTCCTCCTCCTCCTCCTCCTCCTCCTCCTCCTCCTCCTCCTCCTCCTCCTCCCCTCCTCCTCCTCCTCCTCCTCCTCCTGTCTGCAAACCCCACTCCCTTCTAGCACTGATGCTGTTACCTAGTTGGGTCATGAAATGGATCATATGACGGCCGTGGCCAGGAGAGCTTTTTATCAGGTTCGCCTGATACACCAGTTGCGTCCCTTTCTGGACCGGGATAATAATAATAATAATAATAATTTTATTTCTATACCGCCCTTCTCCCGAAGGACTCAGGGCGGTGTACAGCCAATTTAAAAACACAAGACACAACAATGATTAAAAATTAAAATAATTAAATAGATTTGGCCGGTTTAAAACCCCAAAAATTTAAAATACCCCAATTTAAAATTATTATGTTGATAGCCCGGCCTGGCGGAACAACAGGGTCTTCAGTGCGCAGCAAAATACCTGGAGGTCGGAGATATTACGTATTTCTGGGGGCAGTTCATTCCACAGGAGGGGCTCCCACAGAGAAGGCCCTCCCCCTGGGTGTCGCCAGCCGACATGACTTGGCCGATGGCACCCTGAGGAGACCCTCTCTGTGGGAACGGACTGGCCGGTGGGAGGCTACTGGTGGCAGAAGGCGGTCTGGAAGGTATCCAGGTCCAATGCCATGGAGCGCTTTAAAGGCGGTAACCAACACCTTCAATCGCACCCGGAAGACCACTGGGAGCCAGTGCAGCTCGCGCAGGAGGGGTGTCACATGGGCACAACGAGTTGCGCCCATAACCACCCGTGCGGCCGCATTCTGGAACAATTGGAGCCTCCGAGTGCTCTTCAAGGGAGCCCCATGCCCCAAGGTCACTCATGCCCTCGTCACGTCCTGTCTGACTACTGTAACGCTCTCTACATGGGACTCCCCTTGAAGAGCGCTCGGAGGCTCCAACTGGTTCAGAATGCGGGTGGTTATGGGGGCGACTCGGTGCACCCACGTAACACCCCTCCTGCATGAGGTGCACTGGCACCCGGTGGTCTTCCGAGTGCGATTCAAGGTGTTGGTTACCACCTTTAAAGCGCTCCATGGCTTAGGACCAGGGTATATATGAGATCGCCTTCTGCCATCGACAGCCTCCCACCGGCCAATACGCTCCCACAGAGAGGGACTCCTCAGGGTGCCGTCGGCCAAACAATGTTGACTGGCGATGCCCAGGGAGAGAGCCTTCTCTGTGGGGGCACCAGCCCTCTGGAATGAGCTGCCCTTGAGATTCGTATGATCCCCGACCTGCGTACCTTTTGCTGCGCCTTGAAGACCCTTCTGTTCCAGCAAGCTGGCCTGGCCTAATACGAATTTTAGAATGGATGTATGTGTGTTTTAATCTATGGGCCAAATTTTTATATATTCAATTTTAAATTGTTTTAAATTTTGTATATTTCTATGTGTTTTAATATGGCTGCACACCGCCCAGAGTCCTTCGGGAGAAGGTCGGTATAGAAATCTAATAAATCAAATCAAATCAAATCAAATGTCTGCAAGAAAACCACCAAGCTCAGAGAGCACCAAGGACCCTGCAGTCTCCTCCTCCTTCTCCTTTCGGCAAACCCCACTCCTTTCTAGCACTGATGCTGTTACCGAGTTGGGTCATAAAACGTCTGCAAGAAAAGCCACCAAACTCCAATTACAATCCCAAGGGCCAGGCACAGAACTAGGAAAGGGATCTGAATCCTTGCCAGCCATGACTTTTTTGACCTAAAATGGCTTGAGCTGACCTTAACCCTTTCCTCTCCCCTGTGCTCTTCCCCAGATGAGCCTCTTGGTGCCAAAGACTCGTGCAGAGGCCCACGTGCCGAAAAGGAGACTGTGCTGTGAGAAAGCGTCAAAATCGGGCGGCTCGGCACCCAAGCGCCCGCGTGTGGACAAGCTTCTGGGGCCATCACCCTGCCTCCAGCCCCTGCCTCAGTGCCCTCCCGCCGCGGATCAGGGTTCGAGCATCACTCAGATCGGCCCCTACATCCTTCTGGAGCCCACAGAAGGTGGACGCACTTACAGGGCAGTGAACAGACACACCGAGGCAGAGCTGACTTGCAAGGTATGAGATGGTGGGTGTACAGATAGATAGAGGATAGAAAGATAGATAGATAGATAGAAAGACAGATAGATAGATAGATAGATAGATAGATAGATAGACAGATGATAGATAGATGATAGAAAGATAGATAGATAGATGATAGATGATAGAAAGATAGATAGAGGATAGAAAGATAGATAGAAAGACAGATAGATAGATAGATAGAAAGATAGATGATAGATAGAAAGATAGATGATAGAAAGATAGATAGATGATAGAAAGAGATAGATGATAGATAGATGATAGAAAGATAGATGATAGAAAGATAGATAGATAGAAAGATAGATGATAGAAAGATAGATAGAAAGATAGATGATAGATAGATAGATATAGATGATAGAAAGATAGATGATAGATGATAGAAAGATAGATAGAAAGATGATAGATAGATAGAAAGATAGATGATAGATAGATAGATGATAGAAAGATGATAGATAGATGATAGAAAAATAGATGATAAATAGATGATAGAAAGATAGAAAGTTAGATGATAGAAAGATAGATAGATAGAAAGATAGATGATAGATAGATGATAGATAGATGATAGATAGATAGAAAGATAGATGATAGATAGATAGATAGATAGATAGATAGAAAGATAGATGGATGAGAGATGATAGATAGTAGATGGATGGATAGATAGACAGACAAGTTAGATAGATTAGAGAAAGAGAGAGAGAGAGAGATGACAGAGTACGCCTTACCAAAATTTGTATGGCAACAGAACTGATATGTTTCTTTGCATTAAGATAATAATTCTTTGAGGGTAGTAACAGTCGAAGGGCAGAGACGTAACTCGAAGTTTGCTAATTATGAACCTCTATCCTTACATCATCTATTACCTATGCATATGTGTGACTATTATTTTCTCCTCCTTTGCTGAAATGTATATAAACGAACTGCTGTAAATCCAGGCCCACCTATATTCTCTTTAGCACAGCCACCCCAGGGAAGGGAGACTAATTGCATGGCTGACATAGTTTTCTCTATGTGATCTCATCGGTGCAAAGATCTTGTTCCCGATCTGTCACATTCAACAACTAAACTTTACACATTTATTCTCTTCCTGGGTCGGCTTGTGGTGGCTGGGGGATTCTGGGAATTGAAGTCCACACATTTTAAAGCGGCCGAGCTTGAGAAACACACTTTCTAGACCGGGGGTCTCCAACCTTGGCAACTTTAAGCCTGGTGGACTTCAATTCCCAGAATCCCCCAGCCACTAGAAGCTGACCCAGGAAGAGAATAAATGTGTAAAGTTTAGTTGTTGAATGTGACAGATCGGGAACAGATCTAGCTAGCTATCATCTATTTAATATCTATCTTTCTATCATCTGTCTGTCTTTCTGTCTGTCTTTCTGTCTGTCTATCTATCTATCTATCTATCTATCTATCTATCTATCTATCCCTCTCTATCATTATCTCTCTCTCTCTCTCCCTCTCTATCATTATCTATCCCACTCTCTCTCTCTCTCTCTCTCTCCCTCTCTCTATCATTATCTATCTGTCCCACTCTCTCTCTGTCTATCCCTCTCTATCATTATCTCTCTCTCTCTCTATCCCTCTCTATCATTATCTCTCTCTCTCTCTCTATCCCTCTCTATCATTATCTCTCTCTCTCTCTCTCTCTCTATCCCTCTCTATCATTATCTATCTATCCCACTCTCTCTCTGTCTATCCCTCTCTATCATTATCTCTCTCTCTCTCTCTCTATCCCTCTCTATCATTATCTATCCCACTCTCTCTCTCTCTCTCTCTCTCTCTCCCTCTCTCTATCATTATCTATCTGTCCCACTCTCTCTCTGTCTATCCCTCTCTATCATTATCTCTCTCTCTCTCTCTCTCTCTATCCTTCTCTATCATTATCTCTCTCTCTCTCTCTATCCCTCTCTATCATTATCTCTCTCTCTCTCTCTCTATCCCTCTCTATCATTATTTATCTATCCCACTCTCTCTCTGTCTATCCCTCTCTATCATTATCTCTCTCTCTCTCTCTCTCTCTCTATCCCTCTCTATCATTATCTATCCCACTCTCTCTCTCTCTCTCTCCCTCTCTCTATCATTATCTATCTGTCCCACTCTCTCTCTGTCTATCCCTCTCTATCATTATCTCTCTCTCTCTCTCTCTCTATCCCTCTCTATCATTATCTCTCTCTCTCTCTATCCCTCTCTATCATTATCTATCTCTCTCTCTCTCTCTCTCTCTCTATCCCTCTCTATCATTATCTATCTATCCCACTCTCTCTCTCTATCCCTCTCTATCATCTATCTATCTATCTATCTATCTATCTATCTATCTATCTATCTATCTATCTATCTATCTATCTATCCCTCTCTATCATTATCTCTCTCTGTCTCCCTCTCTATCATTATCTATCTATCCCACACTCTCTCTCTCTCTCTCCCTCTCTCTATCATTATCTATCTGTCCCACTCTCTCTCTGTCTATCCCTCTCTATCATTATCTCTCTCTCTCTCTCTCTCTCTATCCCTCTCTATCATTATCTCTCTCTCTCTCTCTCTCTATCCCTCTCTATCATTATCTCTCTCTCTCTCTCTATCCCTCTCTATCATTATCTATCTATCCCACTCTCTCTCTCTATCCCTCTCTATCATTATCTATCTATCCCACTCTCTCTATCCCTCTCTATCATTATCTCTCTTTCTCTCTCCCTCTCTATCATTATCTATCTATCCCACTCTCTCTCTCTCTATCCCTCTCTATCATTATCTATCTATCTATCTATCTATCTATCTATCTATCTATCTATCTATCTAATCTATTAACTCTCTCTCATCTATTTATCTCTCTCTCTCTCTCCCTGCAATCTATCTATCAAATTTATAGGCCTCCCATCTTACCCCCAGATCATTCTGCCGCTTGATCTTTTTTCTCACCTCTTTCTCTTCCCTTCCAGGTTTATCCGGCCAAGAGCTACCCCGAGGTGATGGAGCCCTACGCTGCTCTCCCCTCGCACCCCAACATTGCCCAGGTGGCAGAGATCATTGTGGGAGACCAAAACGTTTACATCTTTTTTGAGCCCGGGAAGGACAACATGCACGACTTGGTGAGGCGGCGCAAGCGTGTGCCGGAGTCCGAGGCGGTTGCTCTTTTCCGACAAATGGCCGAAGCCGTCGCCCACTGCCACCAGCACGGCATCGTCCTCCGAGACATCAAACTGAGGAAGTTTGTCTTCGCGGATCGAGAACGGTGAGAATTGAAAAGACCGGCTGATTTTCCCAGAGCAACACAAAAAAGTTGCCGCAGAAAAATCCTAGATTTTAGTTCATTTGCCATCAGACATTATTAAAATTAAACATAATCTCAGCAAAGTGTCCAATTAACATGCCTCCCATTTAGCAGATTTCAGTCTAATTGTCAGGGAATTGCGCAGTCAGAGACACTGACGCAAAGTTGTAGTTTTATATAAAATAAATCTATTTTATATTGAGATTTACAGCAGACAAGAGAGCCGGGAGCATCATGAGGTAAATCAAATCATGAGGTAAAGCACCCAGAAGAAAAAAGGCGGGGAAAAAAGGGAAACACCCTCTTTATGCTCGCGGCAACCAATCATAGCATAGATTGCCTCATGCATGAGCCAGCACTCTGGCTGGAACCTCATGAGGTAAATCAAGGAGCCTTACAGAGGACATAGAGGAAAAAAAGGCGGGAAAAAAGGGAAACTCCTCTTTTACACCCAGGAACCAATCATATCATAGATTGCCTCATGTACGAGTCAGCACTCTCCAACTAATCAGTTACAACTGTGTGTTCAGGCCCATTGCACACTTCGACTGGCCATAGCCAGTTCCTGCAACCATTCTTCATATGTTTTAGCCTCCAGGCCTTTAATCCTCTTAGTTGCTCTTCTCTGCACTTTTTCCAAAGTCTCAACCTCTTTTTTTTGTAATGTGGGGACCAAAACTGGATGCAGAATTCCAGGTGTGGCCTTACTAAGGCTTTACAAAGCGGTGCTAATACTTCACCTGATTTTGATTCTATGCCTCTGTTTATATAAACAAGAATTGTGTTAGCTTTTTTGGCTGCTGCTCCCTTCCTTCCTTCCTTCCTTCCTTCCTTCCTTCCTTCCTTCCTTCCTTCCTTCCTTCCTTCCTTCCTTCCTTCCTTTCTTTCTTTCTTTCTTTCTTTCTTTCTTTCTTTCTTTCTTTCTTTCTCTTCCTTCCTTCCTTCCTTCCTTTCTTTCTCTCTCTTTTTCTTTTTCTTTCTTTCTTTCTCTTTTTCTTTTTTTCTTTCTTCTCCTCCTTCTCCTCCCTCCTCTCTCTTTCTTTTTGGTTGCTCAGTTGCTCTTCTCTGAACTTTTTCCAAACCCTCAACATCTTTTTTGTAATGTGGGGACCAAAACTGGATGCAGGATTCCAGGTGTGGCCTTACTAAGGCTTTACAAAGCGGTGCTAATACTTCACCTGATTTTGATTCTATGCCTCTGTTTATATAAACAAGAATTGTGTTAGCTTTTTTGGCTGCTGCTCCTTCCTTCCTTCCTTCCTTCCTTCCTTCCTTCCTTCCTTCCTTCCTTCCTTCCTTCCTTCCTTCCTTCCTTCCTTTCTTTCTTTCTTTCTTTCTTTCTTTCTTTCTTTCTTTCTTTCTTTCTCTTCCTTCCTTCCTTCCTTCCTTTCTTTCTCTCTCTTTTTCTTTTTCTTTCTTTCTTTCTCTTTTTCTTTTTTTCTTTCTTCTCCTCCTTCTCCTCCCCTCCTCTCTCTTTCTTTTTGGTTGCTCAGTTGCTCTTCTCTGAACTTTTTCCAAACCCTCAACATCTTTTTTGTAATGTGGGGACCAAAACTGGATGCAGGATTCCAGGTGTGGCCTTACTAAGGCTTTACAAAGCGGTGCTAATACTTCACGTGATTTTGATTCTATGCCTCTGTTGATACAACCAAGGATCGCATTGGCCTTTTTGGCGGCTGCCGCACACAGCTGGCTCATGTTTAAGCAATCGTCCATTAAGATTCCAAGATCCCTCTCACAGTTGCTGTTTTTGAGCTAGTTCTCGCCTAATCTGTGCTTCTACCTTTGGTTTTTCCAGGTCTAAGTTGCTGCTGGAGAACCTGGAAGATGCCCAGGTCCTGCTGGGTTCCGATGATGCCTTGGTGGATAAGCATGGATGTCCAGCTTATGTGGGTCCCGAAATCCTGAGCTTCAAGGGCTCCTACTCCGGAAAGGCAGCTGATATCTGGAGCCTGGGGGTGGTCCTCTACACTCTCTTGGTGGGCTGCTACCCCTTCCAGGGCACCAAGCCAATCTCATTGTTTACCAAGATCTGTCACGGACGTTTTACAGTTCCGGCCGACCTCTCGCCCAAGGCCCAGTGCCTTATCCGGTGCCTCTTGCGAAGGGATCCGGCTGAAAGGCTGACCGCCAGTGGGATCCTGCTCCATCCTTGGCTGGTTTCGAACCCAGTCCCCAAACCATTGGGGGTCAGCCCCCCTGGAGGGCAGGGGCTGGACCAAGTGGTTCCCGAAATGGGGAGCCGCCGAAAGAATTTGGATAAATTGCGAGGAGAGGACAGATGAAGTGGCCTTGAGGGGAAGAATGCGGAAGAAAACAAGGATGTGGCATTGAAAGCCATATCTCAGCCGCCTTGGAAGTGCCTTTTGAGGGACAAACTACCTTTCACCTTTGCCCTTCCATGGGACAGGGGTCACTTTGTCCCAAAACATGGGTAGAGAAGGGCTTCACCCCCTCTTTGTCCTTTGCGTTCTTGCCTATGCCAAAGAAACCTAGAGGAGTTTTGTCAAGCACCAGCAAGCTCTTAAAAGAGGGCTGTTTTGCACCTTTAATTTGGGATCTGTATTGCTGATCTGGACAAGGACCTTGGAACCTGCTGGAATGATTGATGGGAGAAAGAGATCTAGCATGGATGATGTTACGTAGTTTGGTAATGAGATGTCTGGAAGTAAACAGCTAAGCTCAGAGAGCACAAAGGACCCTGCTGTCATCTTTCTCCTCCTCCTCCTCCTCCTCCTCTCTTCAAACCCCACTCCCTTCTAGCACTGATGATGTTCCCTAGTTGGGTCACGAAACGTCTGCAAGAAAACAGCCAAGCTCAGAAAGCACCAAGGACCCCACAATTCTCCTCCTCCTCCTCCTCTTCCCGCTCTTCCTCCTGCTCCTCCTCCCCCCCTTTCTCCTTCTCCTTTCTGCAAAGCCCTGTCCCTTCTCCTATTGATGATGTTACCTAGCTTGGTTATAAGATGTCTGCGAGAAAACAGCCAAGCTCTGAGACCACCAAGGACCCCGTAAAAAGAGATCTGGTGGCAGGGAGATTATGCTTTTTCCCGCATCCCAGGGCTGGATTTCATGTTCCACCATTTCAGGGGAAGGAATGGATGGGAGTGATCGAGTGATGGGCATTTCTGCATGGGATTATTTTCCCTGATGCCAAAGAAAAGGTTGAGATGGAAGCAGGGACTGGTGCTTTCTGAGGGGGAGGAAGAGGGTAGCCTCCGGGGGGGGGGGGGGAGAGGAAGAGGTCAAAGGGAGGGGGGTCCTTGGGTTAGCTTTCCCTGTTTTTTTCTGGCACCCCCCAAAACTGGGGTGGCCTTAAATTGCTTACATCCCGCCGTCCTTAGGATGAATAATTACACTGTGAACGGGTTGGGTTAATCAGACTTTTTCAAACTTGCTCCTTTTAAGATATATGGGTCAACTCCCAGAATTCCTCGGAGAGCTGGGGAATTCTGGGAGTTGAAGTCCACCCGTCTTAAAATTGGCCAACGTTGAAAAATATTGGCTCGCCAACATCTCTTCTGTCCTTTATACCTTTTTTTTTTTTTGGACGCAATCTTTTAAATTCCAAACTTGCCTTAAAAGGACGCTGCTGTCGATCCGGAAAACCTCTGCCCTATTTCTCACTTGAATTTTGTTTCACAACTCTACTTGACAGATGTGGGGTGTTTGGGGCCTTCTCTAGAGGAGCTTCCTTGATCCAAAAATATGGTCCATTACATTCAAGGGCCTTGTGACTTTAGAAGACAATGTTTGCCGCCATGTTTTCTAATCTTGTTCACTTTGGTTTAGGATTGCATTAGTGTGTGTGTGTGTGTGTGTGTGTGTGTGTGTTTTAACTATAGACCTGTGAAGATAGGATGGCAAAAGAAGGTTCTTGTTATGTGAGCTCATAGTTCTTGGTTGGGTTTGAAGACCAAGTCAAGATTTGAGGTCACCAAGATCTGGTCCTTCCTCCTGACCTCAGGATCCTCCCCATAATAATTCTGGATACCTCATTTCCTCAAGTTTCTTTCTCCAACTCCAGAAATTGAGATGTTGTTGAAAAAGAGCCATTGTAGATCATGGTTGGGTTGAGGTGTAGCCATCAGAGAAGGTATATGTGGGTATTTATGCTGATTTTAACCACAGACCTGTGATGATGGGTGGTTCTGAAGGTGGAAAAAGAAGAGCCTTGACATCTGAGTCCATAATTCTTGGTTGGGTTTGAAGACCAAGCCAAGATTTGAAGCCACCAAGATTAGTCCTTTCTCTTGACCTCGTGATCTTCCCCTTAACAGTTATGGATACTTCTCTCTCTCAAGTTTCTTTCTCCGACTCCAGAAATTGAGATGTTGTATGAAGAGGCCCATAGTAGATCATGGTTGGGTTGAAGTGTAACCATCAAGAAAGGTACTTGATGAGTTAGTTGAGCAAGATATGGTTGCATCTGAGGTCCTCCCCCATTCCTCCAACCCTGAAGGACTTTGTTTTTTCCATTAGTTCCAAGAATGGAGCTGGTTTGGTCATGGGTGCTCAGGCAACCCAACTCAACCCAACCCAACTCATGGCATACTAGCTCTATTTGCAAGATGCCAACTCCGCATGCAAGATCTTCCAAGTTTTGCACTCCATGATGGAGAATCTTCTCCAGGAGAAGAACTGGGATTTATGGGGAGCCCCATGGCCATCTAGAGAAGATGCTTCAAGCAGCTCTGTGCTAGAGACAGTAACTGGAGGAGAAATTGGCCTGCCCTTCCCGAGAACCAGTCGAATTTCCAATGTGCCTGCAAAACTACCTCTCCCAGAATTCCTTGGGAACAGACTTCCTGCTTGATCTTTATGGTTCCTGTGTGTGTGTGTGTGTGTGTGTGTGATCTTTGGGACTCAATTTGCTTTTGGGAGGATCAGTTTGGCCAAAGCATATGGATGGTCCTCAACTTACAACCATTCAATTAGTGACAACGGCACGGAAAGAAGTGACTTATGACTGTTTTGCACACTTACGACCATTGCAGCTTCCCCAGGGTCCCGCGATCAAAATTCAGACACTCGGCAACTGACTCGTATTTATGACGGTCGCAGAGCCCCGGGGTCACATGATCCCCTTTTGCGACCAATGGGGGAAGCTGGATTCGCTTAAACAAGTGTGCTGCTAACTTCACTGAACGACTTGTGATAAGGAAGGTCGTAAAATGGGGCAATACTCCCTTAACAAATGTCCCACTTAGCAACAGACATTTGGGGCTCCATTGTGGTTGTAAGTCGAGGACTACCTGTAAAAAAAAATGCTTGCTTATTAGAGAGGTATTTTTCAACCTTAGCAACTTAAGATGTGTGAACTTCAACTCCGGTAGTCCTCGACTTACAACCACTCCTTTAGTGACGGTTCTAAGTGAAAAAACTGATGCACCATCAGTCCTCGCACTTACGACTGTCCCAGCATCTCCCGGTCACATGATCAAAAATCCAGGCCCTTGGCCAGCGTCATTAGCGAACGTCTCACAAGCAAAGTCAGTGGAGGAAGCCAGATTCGCTTAATGACCACACGATTCATTTAATGGCCACACAAGTCACTTAACGACCACAGTGATTTGCTTCGCTGTGCCCCCCCCCCAAAAAATTATAAAATCGGGTGAGATTCTCTTGCTTAGCAATGGAAAAACTCTGTGTCCCCCCCATTGTGGTCGTAATTCGAGGACTACCCTTATAGATGGCAGAAAGGGTTTTAATGGTTGCTACTCACCGGCTCCTTTAAAGAAAAGCAAATTTGATCCAGGGAGAATTCCCAGTGGATCCTCAACCAAGTACGGATTCCCCCCGTGGCTGCATGTCGCGTGATCCTTTTTGTATTATGCATTACCCAGATTATCTCTGTGTGTAGCAAACAACTATGTGCCTTTTTATCTTTGACAAAACAACCAGGGGAAGCCTCCTCACACCTGTTGGGCCTACACAACCTGCAGGTAAAATTCACTGTGAAGTCCCATGCATCAGGGTCTCTGATGAATAACAGAGCTGAAAGCTCTGGAGGTCATCTAGTCCAACCCCCCGCTCAGGTAGGAAGCCTTGTACCATTTCAGACAAATGGCTCCAATCTCTTCTTAAAAACCTCCAATGATGGAGCACTCACAACTTCTGGAGGCATTGGAAATGGAAGGCCATGAGTTCAAATCCTGACTTGGGGATGAAAGCCGGCTGGGTGACTTTGGGCCAATCACCAGGAAGGTTGTGAGTTCTAGTCCTGCCCTGAGATGAAAGCCTGCGTTGGACCATTCACTCTCTCAGCCCAACCCACCTTACAGGGTTGTTGTGCGAAAACTGGAAGGAAGGAATATTTTGTGCGTTCGCCGCCTCGAGTTATTTGTCAAAATAATGAAGGCAGGATAAAAAATAAATGAGTGAAGTCCATAATTAAATGAATCGTGCAAACGGGCAGCCTTCGTTCTACAAAAAAGGAGCTAAAAGTTAAAAAAATTAAATTTTAACTTCATTCATCAGCGCACAGGGTTAAGATCTCCTGCATGTGTTGGGTGTGTGATTCTCACTTTGTGCCAGATTATAGTTTTATTTTCTTGGGGGTCGTACATTGTGTGAATAGCACTGCTGTGTTTGGTAAACCTGGGTTTAGCGTGCTGTGTGAACGGAGTCTCTCACGCTCTTTTAAACAGTGAGTTTGCTGATTTTTCTGTCGTTTGGAAAATAAAATAAAAAAATAAATAAATTGGCATTTGTAGCAATATTTATTTGAGATTCTAAGTACCCAGAGAAGTTGGAATAAATTTTTTCCCCCTATATCCTGTTTCTGCAGTTTTTCTAAGGTACGGAGTTGAGTCTAAAGCAGTATTTTTCAAATTTGGCAATTTTAAAGATTTCTGGACAGAATAAACATAGCGTATATCAAACTGTTTAAAAATATATATATTTAAAATACTCCTTAAAAGGAAGAGTTATATATTACTGCTTAAAAAAAATAAAGGGAACACAAGCAGAAGACATCCGAGATCTGAATGAATGAAATAGCCTTATTAAATACTTTGTTCTTTACATACAGTAGTTTATACACTGCTCAAACAACTAAAGGGAACACAAAACTACTGTATGTAACGAACAAAGTATTTAATAAGGTTATTTCATTCATTCAGATCTCGGATGTCTTCCGCTTGTCTTCCCTTTATTTTTTTGAGCAGTGTGTATATATATATATATATATATATATATTTAATTTGACTTATATGCCACCCTTCTCCGGAGACTCAGGGCGGCTTACAATGCGTTAAGCAATAGCCTTCATACTTCTGTATATTTATACAAAGTCAGCTTATTGCCCCCACAAACTGGGTCCTCATTTCACCTACCTTAGAAAGGATGGAAGGCTGAGTCAACCTTGAGCCTGGTAAGATTCGAACCTGCAGAAATTGCAGGCAGCTGTGTTAATAACAGGGTGCATTAAACCACTGTACTACCAAGGCTCTTGGTATATATATTCTATATCACTGTTTCTCAAACTCGGCAACTTTAAGATGGGTGGACTTCAGTGGTGAAATCCAATTTTTTTTACTACTGGTTCTGTGGGCGTGGCTTGGTGGGCGTGGCAGGGGAAGGATACTGCAAAATCCCCATTCCCTCCCCACTCCTGGGGGAAGGATGTTGCAAAATCCCCATTCCCACTCCATTCTGGGGCCAGCCAGAGGTGGTATTTGCCGGTTCTCCGAACTGCTCAAAATTTCCGCTACCGGTTCGCCAGAACCTGCTGGATTTCACCCCTGGTGGACTTCAAGTCCCAGAATTCCACAGCCAGCATGAGCGAAGCGAACGTGTGCTCTCGTTCCTGTTGCAAACCGGTAGTAAAGGTAAGTAGACCCCCACCCCTGGTGTGGCCTTGCAAAGCTAATTGCCAATGAGGTCTTTGGCAGTGTGTCAAGGAAGATAAAGGTGGGTGCTTATCAGCCTTATCCCGAAGGACTGTGGAAGGCTTCCGTCGGACTCTTTTCCAACTCTTTGTGACTCATTACGGGCTGTGAATAAACAATAATTCACAGCCCTTGAAATAAAAAGAGGATTTTTGGGACTAATCTTGTGCTTTTTACTGTCTCAGGAAGCCTAGGTTAGAACATGGCGTAGGGCAGAGGTCTTCAAACTTGGCAGCTTTAAGACTTGTGGACTTCAACTCCCAGAATTCTCCAGCCAGCATAGCTAAGAGGGAAGCATACCTATAGCATACATTAAGAGGGAAAAATGAATAGGTTTACTATGTTCAATAGTACATTACATTAATATCAATGTAATGAATGAAGTTGTAAATGTTGACGGTTATTGCACGAAGTTATTTGTACCCACTGTTTTAAGGCAGGGGTCTCCAAACTTGGCAACTTTAAGACTTGTGGACTTCAACTCCCAGAGTTCCTCAGCCAGCAAAGCTCAGTAAAGCAAAGCATAGCTGGATGGAGAATTCTGGGAGTTGAAGTCCACAAGTCTTAAAGCTGCCAAGTTTGAAAACTTCTGGTGTAGGGTTTCCTGCGATGGGGGCAAAAGTCGCTTAACGACCGCCTTGCTTGGGGCTCAGTTCTAACTGGAGGACCACCTGGCCTCTCTTCCCAGCTGGATTTTTTTTTTTTAATTTAAAAAAAAAATTAATATAAACATTCCATCTTCCCTTAAACCAGGGGTTTCCAAAGCTTGGCAACTTTAAGACTTGTGGACTTCAACTCCCAGAATTCCTCAGCCAGCTTTGCTTTGCTTTGCTGGCTGAGGAACTCTGGGAGTTGAAGTCCACAGGTCTTAAAAGTTGCCAAGTTTGGAGACCCCTGCCTTAAAACAGTGGGTACAAATACCTTCGTGCAATAATCATAAAAATTTACAACACCACCATTCATTACATTGATATTAATGTAATGTAGTACTGAGCATAGTAAATCTATTCATTCTTCCCTCTTAACGTATCTTCTAATAAGAATAAAATAATAATCCTAATAGTCATCATAATAATAACAATCGTCCTATGATTTGGATCTCTATCTGAACAGTATTTTCAACCCTTCTCTAATCCCCTCCTTTGATTTCCAACTTCCATTTTTATTCTCTTAACTATCCATGAAACAGTTAAAACTACCCATAAAATAATTATGATAAAATTATTATGAATTAATAATTTTAAATTATTATAAAGTTATAATTATAATTATATAATAATTATAATTATTATATAATAATTATAAAATTATTTTCTTATTTCTTATTTCATCAAGCTGGCCTAAGTCTTTCCCCCTTTTTCCCCTTTTTAAATGGAAATTTTAAATTTGGTTTTAAATTATTGGGGTTTTAAATTTGTCCAGCCAAATTATTTAATTCGTTTTATTTTATTTTAAATTTTGTATTTATATGTTTTTTTTATTCTATGGCCGTTCACCCGCCCTGAGTCCTTCGGGAGTAGTACAAATTCAATAAAATAAGTAAAAATAAATAAATAAATTATTATTATTTGAATAATTTTGGCTGGCTCCCTTTAGGATGAAAAAAAAGTGGCAGCTGTTCCCCCCCAAAGTGGAGCCCCCCCCCCCAAAAAAGCAGCGGGAGAGAGGCTTAAATCTGGATTGGACGGGGGACCACCAGGTGATCTCAGAGCTGGGGGGAGAGAGAGAAAAATAAATAAATAAATAAAAACAAGTCCGGAAACAAATCCCCGCTAATCCGGCTCAGCTCTGCTTCCGGGGACTTGAAAAGGAGTCACTCCGGATTGTTTGCGGGGTCGGCCACGGGAGGGGAGGGGGGGGAAGGGGAGAAAAGACCCAGCCCCCGTGACGTCACGGGGATTCCCTCTTTGCCCGGGCTCCGAAGCGGAAGCCGCGTGCTCAGATCTGCTTCTGCTGCTCCTCCTCTCCGCCGCTTTGCTTTCGTTTTCCTGGAAGGAACCGAGCAGAAGCTGGAGGTCAGTTTTGCATGGACCCCCCCCCCTCTCCTTCACCCTCCCCTCCCCTCTTTTTTTTGCAAACTCCCCTCCCCCGCCTGGGAAAAGGGGGGTATCCCGCGAGCTTGCAAGTTTTGCAGGGCGGGGCGGGAGGCCCAGGCCGCCTGGGGGTGGGAGTGGGGGTGGGGTGGGGCAGGATCTCTACTCCCCTCCCCCAGAGTTGTGTTTCTTCCCCCCCCCCGTTCCTAGTCTCTGCCCTCCCCCCCTCCCCAAATAGGAAGGGGCTTCCTGCCCAGGCCGCCTGGGGGTGGGGAAGGGGTTAAAAGGGAGTGGGGGGGCTGGATCTCTGCTCCCCTCCCCCAGAGTTGTGTTTCCCTCCCCCGCCTTCCTTCCTAGTCTCTGTCCTCCCCCCTCCTCCCCAAAGTAGGGGGGCTTGGCTTGGCTTCCTGCAGCCTTGGAAAGTTTGCAACTTGTGTTTGTGTGTGTGTGTGTTTTTTGTGTCCCTTGCAAGGGGCGGGAGGTTCTATAGTCCCTCTCTGGCATGCAACCCCCTGCCCCCCCCACTCTCCACCCCCCCAACGCCTCTAGGGGGGGCTAGAGACCCCTCTGGGGATGCTTCTTTGCATGCAAGAGAAGGGCTGCAATGGGAGTGGGGGGGCTGGTGAACTTTGACCTTAGAAGGGGAAGGGTCCATCCCATCCTCCCCCTTTGCCCCGGGGACTTCCAAGTCCGCAAACACCCCCTCCACCCCCCTCTTAATCCTATCAGTTGCAAACTCGCTAACTACAGTTTTGGTTTGTTGATTTCAAGTGTCTGGTCCTCTTGAAGCAAGGGTCTCCAACTTTTAAGCCTGGCGGACTTCAACTCCCAGAATTCCCCAGCAATTCTGGGAGTTGAAGTCCCCAGGCTTAAAGTTGCCAAAATTGGAGACCCCTGCCCTGAAGGTGGTCCCGTCATCTCCTCCCCTCCTCCACCAGGGAAAAGCAGACGGTCCAGTTTTAGGGAACCCCATTCCTCTTCCTCCTTAGGGGTGGTGGGATTTTTGCCCGGCTGTAATGGTGGGAGGGGGCTTTAGACAGCTGGAGGGGGGGTCCCCATCCCACCGTTAGGCCCTTCCTGGTGGCCATTTGGGCTTTTGATTTGGACGAGAATTTCACATCTTCCGGGATGCCTAACTTTTGCAAAGTTTCTGGGCTCCAAATAGATGCAGGTTTAACGCTCTGCTGATGGAGTTTTCTTCTGCTGGGTCGGGGGGCAGGAGGTTTAATTTAAACCGGGGTGGGTGGGTGGGCGTTGAGCTTTATTTAACCGGTAGTCCTCAAGTTACAACAGTTCATTTAATGACCAGTTACAACAGCCCGGAAAAAGGGGCTTGGGACCGTTTCTCGCAGTTATGACCTTTTCAGCATCTCCGTGGTCATCTGATTTACATTTGGGTAAACGGGTGCATAGTTATGACGGTCACAGTGCCCCTTTGGCGACCTTCGGACAACCGAAGTTCAAAGGGGAAGCCAGATCTGCTTAACAACCGGGTTACTCATTTAAGGACAACTGTGGCAAGGAAAATTGTAAAATGGGGCAAAACTCGCTTAAGAAATTGTCTCCCTTAGCGACATAAATTCTGGGCTGAATTGTGATCGTACGTCGGGGACTGCTTGTATTTCTTTATTATTATTATTTTTAGGGGGGGGGCTAAAAATAGTCAGTTTCTTTTAGCTGGGCTGTCAAAGTTGCAGACTTTTCGATAATTTCCCTCCCTCATCCTGATCTTCTTCCCTCCCTCCCTCCCTCCCTCCCTCCCATTGAACATTGAATCCTAGGGCTGGAAGAGACTTTAGAGATCTTGTAGTCCAACCCGCAGAAAACTTTATTCTATCCTAGACAAATGGCTGTCCAGTCTTTTTTTAAAAATCTCCATTGATGGAGCACCTACAACTTCTCATGGCAAGCAGTTCCACTGGTTAATTGTTCTCAATGTGAGGAAATTTCTCCTTAGTTCCAGGTTGCTTCTCTCCTTGATGAGTTTCCATCCGTTGCTTCTTGTCCTGCCTTCTCAGGTGCTTTGGAGAATAGGTTGACCCCCAACTCTTCTTTGGGGCAGCCCCTGAGATATTGGAAGACTGCTGTCATGTCCCTTTTAATTCTTCTCTTCAAAATTTTTTTCTTTCTTTCTTTGTTTCTTCCTTCCTTCCTTCCTTCCTTCCTTCCTTCCTTCCTTCCTTCCTTCCTTCCTTCCTTCCTTCCTTTCTTTTTTCCTTCTTTCTTTCTTTCTCTCTCTCTCTCTCTCTTTCTTTCCTTCTCTCTCTCTCTCTCTCTCCCTTCCTCCCTCCCTCCCTCTGTTTCTGTTTCTGTTTCTGTTTCTGTTTCTTTATAATTGATTGAGTCATTCTTTCATTCACTGCTAATCTAAAAACACAATTCATGGTGACTCACAACAACAATACAACCCAGAACTAAAAAAAATCCCAGCCTTTTGGGTTGTCTGGAGCCTGTTTAGGCCATGTCTTTCCTTCCTTCCTTCCTTCCTTCCTTCCTTCCTTCCTTTCTTTTTCTTTCCTTCTTTCCTTCTTTCCTTTTTTCTTTTTCTTTCTTGCTTGCTTGCTTTTCTTTCTTTTTCTTTCTTTCCTTCTTTCCTTCTTTCTTCCTTTCTTCCTTCCTTTCTTTTTCTTTCCTTCTTTCCTTCTTTCCTTCCTTCCTTCCTTCCTTTTTTCTTATTCTTTCTTTCTTGCTTGCTTTTCTTTCTATCCTTTCCTTCTTTCTTTCTTTCTTTCCTTCCTTCCTTCCTTCCTTCCTTCCTTCCTTCCTTCCTTCCTTCCTTCCTTCCTTCTTTCTTCTTTCTTTCTTTCTTTCCTTCCTCAAAAAATTATACTAATTAAAAACAACCAGGCACCAATATAGCAGTGTTTTTCTCAACCTTGGGGGCTTAGAATGGGTGAATATCAACTCCCCAATTCTGGGAGTTAAATTCTACACATCTTAAAACTGCCAAGATTGAGAAACAATGCAGGAAGGCATTTAATTGTGACCTTGGATATCCCTATCATAATTTAGACTTTTAAAGTTTGTGTAACACCAGTCTCTTTTGGTTTCTGCCAAAACTCAGAAGAAATGTTTTCACCTAGCAATTCTCCCCAACAATCCAAGGGAGTGCCCTACACCCCACAAAGAGTTATTTTACGTGGAAGGATGGGGATTGTAGTCCTAAACTAATGGTGAAGATTAGGGAATGGATCTGCCAAGTCTGTGCGCACTATAATTTGTGCTTGTTATTGTGGGGAAAATAGGAGGAGGTGGTTATGGATATGTTCGCATTTTGGGCCGTTTGTAAAAATAATAAAGGCGGTATATAAATAAATGAATAGAAAGGAATAGAATAGAATAGATAATAGATTGGAACGGAATGGAACAGAAAATAGAACATGGAATATAGAGTAAATACAACAGAATGGAATGGAATGGAATAGAAGCAGAACAGAACAAAACAAAACATAATAGAATGGAGCGAAATATAGAATAGACTAAAGACTGGACAGGACTGGACTAGAGAATGAAAGAAAAGAATGGAATGGAACAGAAAATAGAATATAGAACATAGAATATATACAATATCATGAAAATATAGAATAGACTAGAGACTGGACAGGACTGGACTAGAGAATGAAAGAAAAGAATGGAATGGAACAGAAAATAGAATATAGAACATAGAATATATACAATATCATGAAAATATAGAATAGACTAGAGACTGGACAGGACTGGACTAGAGAATGAAAGAAAAGAATGGAATGGAACAGAAAATAGAATATAGAACATAGACTATATACAATATCATGGAATGGAATGGAATAGAAACAGAACAGAACAGAACAAAACAAAATAGAATGGAATGAAATAATATAGAATAGACTAGAGACTGGACTGCACTGCACTGGACTAGAGAATGAAAGAAAAGAATGGAATGGAATGGAACAGAAAATAGAATATAGAACATTGAATATATACAATATCATGGAATGGAATAGAATGGAATAGAATTAGAATTAGAGTTAGAATAGAAATAGTGTCAGGCTTCCAACTAATTGACCCATTGCAAGTAAGAACTCCAAGGCAGGTAGATTCCTCCAAGAATAGCTTTATTGGAAATATCAAATTGGCACAGATCTGGTGAAAACGAACTCTGGGAGGCCCCGTGGTTTTCACTTAATTAAAAGTAAAAGTTTTGCCCCCAATTCCAAACAAATCAGTCACGTGGCCCAATCAAGGCAGCGTCTGCAGGTCTGGTGACATCACTCCTCCTCCTCCTGGCCAGGTGTGAGAACGTCCTTGGTTCCCAGGGGAAAAGTATTTTGTTTTGACTAAACAACCCCAGCTATCTAATCTATCCCCCCCTCTCCTCCCTATCCGTCAGCTCCAGTGTGGCAGCAGCTCTGAAGCTCCCAGATGGCTTCGCCCAGGCCAGCTTCAGGGTTGAATAGAAATAGATGAAAAGTAGAATGGAATGGAATAAGAAAGAATAGAATAGAATAGAATAGAATAGAATAGAATAGAATAGAATAGAATAGAATAGAATAAAGAATAAGAAATATGGAAAGGAAAAGAAAAGAAAAGAAAAAAGAAAATCTGTAATGTAATATAATAGACTAGAAAATATGGAATGGAAAAGAGAAAAGAAAGAAAAGAAAAAAATATGGAAGGGAATAGAATGGAATGGAATGGAATAAAAAAGAATAGTAAAATATGGAATGGAAAAAAGAAAATATGGAATGGAATAGAATGGAATGGAATAGAAAAGAAAAGATGGAATGGAATGGAATAGAAAATAGGGAATGGAATGGAATAAGAATAGAATAGAATAGAATAGAATAGAATAGAATAGAATAGAATAGAATAGAATAGAATAGAATAGAATAGAAAATATGAAATGGAATAGGAATAGGAATAAGAATAGAATAGAAGAGACATTGGAATGAAGAATGGAATGGAATATTGGAATTAAAAATGAATAGAATAGAATAAATAGAATAGAATAGAATAGAAAATATGGAATGGAATAGGAATAAGAATAAGAATAGAATAGAAGAGACATTGGAATGAAGAATGGAATGGAATATTGGAATTAAAAATGAATAGAATAGAATAGAATAGAATAGAAAATATGAAATGGAATAGGAATAGGAATAGGAATAAGAATAGAATAGAATAGACATTGGGATGAAGAATGGAATGGAATATTGGAATTAAAAATGAATAAAATAGAATTAGAATTAGAATTAGAATTAAAATAGAATAGAATAGAATAGAATAGAATAGAAAAGAAAATATGAAACGGAATAGGAATAGGAATAAGAATAGAATAGAATAGAATAGAATTTGCGACCTTCTGACCAGCAAAGTCAATGGGGGGGAATCCCAGTTCACTTAACAACCAGGTTGCTAATTGAACAAATGCAATGATTCACTTAACAACGGTGGCAAGAAAAGTCGTTAAATGGGGGCAAATTCACACAACCAATGTTTCACTTAGCAACATAGATTTTGGGCTCAATTGCGGTCATAACTACAGGACTACTGTAGTTACTACCTGTAGTAACTACAGGACTACCTGTAGCTACTGAGAGGCCCTATAAATTCCCTAAACAAATAAAGACAAGTAAAATCAATCGCAAAGTGAAATTTCCAAGCCAACATCAGTTCAAGAGCAGAGCTTAATTTCCAGCTAAAAACTGAAAAACACAAAACTCTGGATGCAAATGTAGAATTACGCTCAAGTTAAGAGTTTGCGCCATTGCACTTTGTGCAAAAAAATGGAGGCCCTTCCCTTTTTTTTCCATCGGTTTCATTTTTTCAGGATCCAACTTTTTTAAAAACAAAAACAAAAAAACCCCCCATCCTTTGAGTTTATGGTCAGCCTACTCTTTTCTTGCACTGTTTGCAAATACTTAGTCCAAGAATCAACAGTTCTACCAGGAAATGTTAACGACGGAAAAATAAAAAAACCACACCCGGATTACGGAACAGAGAAAAAAAAACCCAAGAAATTTTGTTTCCTAAATGTGAAAGTTCATAAGGGATGTGAAGATTTATATAGTTAGACCCCATTCGAAAGGGACAATAAAAAAAAGAGAAGAAGGAAACAAAAAAAACCCCACAATATCCTGCAGTGCCATTTGTCAGAATTGGTGTAGGACAACAGGGGTCTCCAACCTCGGCAACTGCGTTGGTTGTAAACGGTTGCAAGTCACTTTCACGGAACCGTTGTAACTTCGGACGGTCGCTAAACGAACCGTTGTAAGTCGAGGATTGTTTTGTATCGGGAGTCAAATAGGCTCAGTTTCTCATGGCGTTCTTCTCCCTATAGATTGGAAGCCTTGCAACCAAAGATGAGTCACGGCTGGGCCGCAGTTGCCAAAAATGCTATTTTCGACTAAAACAACAGAAGTCGGAGGAAGTGAAAGCTGTGCTTGCTTGTGGTTTTTCGGCCTCAAGTCCTGGGTTCAAGTCCTGGCACCGTCTTTTAAGGAGGATTCGGAGCATCGGAAACAGGTGAGGAGAAAAGCAGTGAAACCAAACCCACCTGTTCTGTCCCAGCTATGGACCCCAAAGAACGCAGCACACACAAAGTCGGTTCAAACCTTAGTTTACTAAATAAATCAGTCATTTACAACAACGGCTGTTAATTAACTGCATTAATCCAGGAGCCTGGATAGCTCAACAGACTAAAAGCCTGTTATTAACATTCAGCTGTCTGCAATTATTGCAAGTTCGAATCTCGCCAAGGCTCGAGGCTTTTTTACTAGTGATTTAAATCATGATTTAAATCAACTCGATTTAAATCAAATCCTTGATAGTAGCCTTGATAGTACAGGGGTTTAGTGCACCCTGTTATTAACACAGCTGCCTGCAATTTCTGCTGGTTCGAATCTCTCCAAGGCTCAAGGTTGACTCAGCCTTCCATCCTTTCTAAGGTAGGTGAAATGAGGACCCGGATTGTGGGGGCAATAAGCTGACTTTGTATAAATATACAAAAGGATGAAGGCTGTTGCTTAACGCACTGTAAGCCGCCCTGAGTCTCCGGAGAAGGGCGGCATATAAGTCAAATTAAAAGAAAAGAAAAAAGAGAGAGAGAGAAAGAAGGAAGAAAGAAAAAGAAGGGAGGGAGGGAGGAAAAAGAAAGAAGGAAAGAAGGGAGGGAGGGAGGGAGGGAAAGAAGGAGAAAGAAAGAAAAAAAGAAGGGAGGGAGGGAGGGAGGGAAAGAGGGAGGGCCTGATTGTGGTTGTAAGTCGAGGATTACCTGTAATAGACCCTCTGTCTAAGGCAAAAGTAGGCGACTGTGGCCGTTTTATAGAATAGAATGACAGAGTTGGAAGGGACCTTGGAGGTCTTCTAGTCAACCCCCTGCTTAGTGTACTATACCACTTCAGACAAATGGTTATCCAACAACATCTTAACATCTTCCAGTGTTGGAGCATTCACAACTTCTGGAGGCAAGTTGTTCCACTGGTTAATTGTTCTCACTGTCAGGAAATTCTCCTTAGTTCTAAGTTGCTTCTCTCCTTGATTAGTTTCCACCCGTTGCTTCTTGTCCTGCCCTCAGATGCCTTGGAGAATAGCTGGACTCCCTCTTCTTTGGGGCAGCCCCTGAGATACGGGAACACTGCTATCATGTCTCCCCTGGTCCTTCTTTTCATTAAACTAGACATACCCAGTTCCTGCAACCGTTCTTCATATGTTTTAGCCTCCAGTCCCCTAATCCTCTTGGTTGCTCTTCTCTGCACTCTTTCTAGAGTCTCCACATCTTTTTTACATTGTGGTGACCAAAACTGGACGCAGAATTCCAAGTGTGTGGCCTTATAAAGTGGTATTAACACTTCATGTGATCTTGATTCTATCCCTCCGTTGATGCAACCTAGGATTGCATTGGCTTTTTTGGCAGCTGCTGCCCACGGCTGGCTCCTATTTAAATGGTTGTCCACTAGGACTCCAAGATCCCTCTCACAGTTACTACTATTGAGCAAGGTACCACCTATACTGTACCTGTGCATTTTGTTTTTCCTTGCCTAAATGCAGAACTTTGCTTTTTTCACCGTTGAATTTCATTCAAAAGTGAAAAAAGTAAGGTTCTACATTTAGGCAAGAAAATTTATGACCTGTGGTCATGTGATAACCCACTTACTGACTGGCTTACAGTCCTTGACTTATGACGTATGACTGTAATTCTGGGCACCCTTATGGTCATAAGTTGAGGACTACCTGAAAGATGTCCAGGAACAAAGTCATGTTGGGTTTTCCTCTCTATCAGAACACAGAGCTCAGAAACCTGGATTGAAGTTCCTGGAGGGAAGAGATTCTCCTTCAATGTCTGAAGACGCTTTGGGTCACCTGGGGAAGTAGAGACTCAAAGAGCAGGTGAGGCTGTTTTCTTGAAGATGCTTTCATTTGGGTTCCTGCCCCCAGCAGAAAAGTTTTCTTTGGGCCTAAGTTGCAGGGTAGGGTAGGGTAGGGTAGGGTAAGGGTAAGGTAGGGAAGGATATGGGAAGGGTAGGGAAGGGTAAGGTAGAGTACGGTAGTGTTGGGTAGGGTAGGGTAGGGAAAGATATGGTAAGGATAGAGTGGGGTAGAAAAGGGTAAGGTAAGGTAGATTAAGATAAGGTAGAGTGAAATAGGGTGGGGTGGGGTAGATTAAGGTAGGGTTGGGTAAGGTAGGGTAGGGAAGAGGTAAGGTACAGTATGGTAGTGTTGGGTAGGGTAGGGAAGGATATGGTAAGGGTAGGGTAGGGAAGGGTAAATTAAGGTAGAGTAAGCTATGGTAGGCTAAGGTAGGGTTGGGTAAGGTAGAGTAGGGTAAGGTACGGTAGGGTTGGGTAGTGTATGGTAAGGTAGGGTTGGGTTGGGTAGGGTAGAGTAAAGTAAGGTAGGTTTGGGTAGGGTAAGGTCGAGTTGGGTAGTACGGAAAGGTAGGGTAAGGACAGGGTAGGGTAGGGATGGGTAAGGTAGAGTAAGGTAAGGTAAGGTAGTGTAGGGTTCGGTAAAGTACAGTAGGGTAAGGTACAGTAGGGTAGGGTAGGGTAGAGTAAGGTAGGGTTGGGTTGGGTTGGGTAAGGTAGGGTTGGGTGGGGTAGAGTAGAGTAAAGTAGGGTAGGGTTGGATAGGGTAAGGTAGGGTTGGGTTTGGTAGCATAAGGTAGGGTAAGGTAGGGGTAGGGTTTCCCAACTTAGGCAACTTTAGAATAGGTGGACTTCAACTCCCAGAATTCCCCAGCCAACTTCACTCATGGAGAATTCGGGGACTTGAAGTCCACCTATCTTAAAGTTGCCAAGATTGAGAAACAGAGAGTTGGAGGGGATTTTGGAGGTCTTCTAGTCCAACCCCCTACTCAAGCAGGAGCTCCTACACCGTTCCAGAGACATGGCTGTCCAAACTCTTCCTTAAAATCCTCCAGTGAGGGACTGCCGGGTGCTGAAATTGGATCTGGAAAGGCTTGTTGTTCGTGAGGATGGGGTTGTTGGGGTTGGGTCTGTCCTGCCCATCCTCACGGCTCCTTCTTCTCTTTGGGTCAGGAGTCCGTGGGGCTGACTGTGTGGCCGATGGAGGAGGCAATAAGGAAAGGTGAGTTGGCAGGGGAATGGGGTGGGCATCCAACAGGTGGGGAGGGGCTTGCAAAGGAAGCGGAAATGGCCCGTGGGGAGGGTCTTTTGGATGCTCCTTGCTGACCCAGAGCAGAAATGAGGTCTAATAAAGGAGAAGATTTGTAGCTCCGGGTTGACGTGAGGGATCCCTGGTGCTCTCTGAGCTTCGTGGTGGTTTTCTTGCAGACGGTTCAATAACTCAACTAGCTAACATCCTCAGGGTTAGAAATAAGTCTCTCTAGGGCAGTGATGGCTAATCTTTTTGCCGTCGCGTGCCAAAGGCAGCGGGGAACGCGGAGGGGGGCGCGGACGTGCCCACACCCATAATTCAATGCCCCTCACGCATGCGTGCGCGACACCCCCCCGCAGTCCCCCCGCTTTTGGCACGCAACGGCAAAAAAAAGTTACCGGTAGGCCCGTTTTTCGCCCTCCCCAGGCTCCAGAGGCAGGTTTGGAGCCTGGGGAGGGTGAAAACAGCCTGCCCCACCCTCCCAGAGGCCCTCCGGAGGCCGGAAATGGCTGTTTCCCAACTTCTGGTGGGCCCATAAGGCCCGAAAATCAGCTGGCCGGCGCACGCATGCACGCTGGAGCTGAGCTAGGGCAACACTTGTATGCCCACAGATATGGCTCCACGTGCCACAGGTTCACCATCACGGCTCTAGGGGGTCTTTCTTCCCACTGGATAATAAAGTCCCTCCTTTAAAAACACCTAAATAGACTTTTTTTCCTTTGAGCCTTTAGTCTTAACTCCTGGTCACTACCTGGATAGGTCCATGAAGTATTGGAAACAACTTCCTACCTGCCTGCCTCATTCATTCATTCATTCAGTCATTCATTCATTCATTCTCTCCTTTCTTCTTTCTTACTTCACTTTCTTTCTCTCTCTTTCTCTATCGCCATCTCTCTCCTCCTTTCCTTCTATCCTTCCTTTGTTCCTCCCTCCCTCATTCATTCATTCATTCATTCTCTCCTCCCTCCCTCCTTTCTTTCTTTCTTTCTTTCTTTCTCCTTCCTTCCTTCCTTCCTTTGTTCCTCCCTCCCTCATTCATTCATTCATTCATTCTCTCCTCCCTCCCTCCCTCTTTCTTTCTTTCTTTTTCTCCTTCCTTCCTTTCTTTGTTCCTCCCTCCCTCATTCATTCATTCATTCATTTATTCATTCTCTCCTTCCTCCCCTCTTTCTTTCTTTTTTACTTACTTTCTCTCTCTCTCTCCTTTCTTTCCTTCCTTCCTTTATTCCTCCCTCCCTCCCTCATTCATTCACATTCATTCCCTCCTCCCTCCCTCTTTCTTTCTTCCTTCCTTCCTTCCTTCCTTCCTTCCTTCCTTCCTTCCTTCCTTCCTTCCTTCCTTCCTTTGTTCCTTCCCTCCCTCCCTCCCTCCCTCATTCATTCATTCATTCTCCTTCCTCCCCTCTTTCTTTCTTTTTTACTTACTTTCTCTCTCTCTGTCTCCTTCCTTTCCTTCCTTCCTTTATTCCTCCCTCCCTCCCTCATTCATTCATTCATTCATTCTCTCCTCCCTCCCTCCCTCTTTCTTTCTTTCTTTCTTTCTTTCTTCCTTTGTTCCTCCCTCCCTCCCTCCCTCATTCATTCATTCATTCTCCTCCCTCTCTCCCTCTTTCTTTCTCCTTCCTTCCTTCCTTCCTCTCCCCCTCTCTTCCCTCCCTCCCTCCCTCTCTACCTCTCCCTCTCCCTCTCCCTCTCTCTATCCCTCTCCCTCCCTCCCTCCCTCCCTCCCTCCCTCATTCATTCATTCATTCATTCATTCATTCATTCATTCATTTATTCATTCTCTCCTCCCTCCCTCCCTCCCTGAGACTAGAACTCACTGTCTCCTGGTGATTTTGATCCAAACTCACCCCACCAGCTTTCATGCCAAAGGGAGGTCTAGAACTCTTTGAGTCCCCTAGCCACCACATCAAACTGCCCAAACGCAGAATGGGCGTGAAGAAACAGACCTAAAGGTTGGCATTTGCGTGGTGACATTCCTAAGCCAACTGGGGACGCCCGTGCCTGGATCTCTCCCTTACCTTAATGGAGCTTCAGATGCCGATCTTGGAAATGGCTCCCAGGGGGCAAAGCGGTATCACGTGGCAAGGAGTTCCACAGCCGAATGGTCTCCTCTCCTCCTCAGCTGAGCAGCAAGCCCTGAGGCTGGCGGAGGCGATCCGAGACGGGGAGGAAGAGATCGCCCAGCGTTGCGCCATCTGGCTGGCCGAGCGCCGTGTCCCCGTCAAGGTGCAGCTGGAACCAGACGCCTATCCGGAGCACGACATTAGGTGATGCCAGAGGAGGTGATGCGGTCCTGAATGCGAATCCTACACAGCTGGATTCTCCTAGAGCAGTGTTTCTCAACCTTGGAAGCTTGAAGATGGGTGGACTTCAACTCCCAGAATCCCCCAGCCAGCGCAGCTGGCTGGGGGATTCTGGGAGTTGAAGTCCACCCATCTTCAAGCTACCAAGGTTGAGAAACACTGTCCTAGAGAGCCCTGTAAATATTCCAAAATCTGAGAATTGGGGAGGGGGTTGGAATCCTGTCTGGGGCTTCTAAACCCCTGTGACACCCTCAACACTGGGCATCCCATCCTTTTGAAGCAAGAAACCGAAATTTTACTTCGTTACTGCCAGCCCTTCCAGGTAGGCCAGGCCGAGAAACTTGATAAGGATTCCAAGAATGTTGCTTTATTCTATACAGGTAGTCCTCGACTTACAACCCTTCGTTTAGTGACCGTTTGAAGTCACAACGACACTGAAAAAAAGTGGCTTATGACCGCATTTCACACTTACGACCGTTGCAACATCCCCAGGGTTCACGTGATCAAAATTCTGACGCTTGGCAACTGACTCATACTTACGACGGTTGAAGTGTCCCGGGGTCACGTGTTTCCCTTTTGCGACCACCTGACCAGCAAAATCAATGGGGAAAGCCAAATTCATTTTAACGACCGTGTTACTCACTTAACAACTGCAGTGATTCACTTGACGACTGTGGCAAGAAAGGTCGTAAAATGGGGCAAAACTCACTGAACAACCGTCTCGCTAAGCAGCGGAAGTTTGGGGCTCCGTTGCGGTCATAAGTCGAGGACTACCTGTATATGAGATGGGTCCATGAGGAGCCAAGTTTGACTTAAAGAAGACTTCACCTTTGTATCATGTGGTGTGGTGAGGTCCTTATTTTCTGGATTAGTGTTCTCAAATATGTCTTGGGACCTCCAACCTTGGCAATTCTGGTGGGCATCAACTCCCAGAATTGCCCAGCCAACAAAGAATTCTGGGAGTTGAAGTCCGCCATCTTAAAGTTGCCAAGGTTGGAGACCCCTGTCTTGGACTACAGCTGTCAAAAGGTCCAAACCACCATGGAGAAAAGTCCTCCTGGCTGATAATTCTTGTATTTGGAGTCTATCATAGTTGGAGGGTGGTAGGTTATGGAAGGCTACCTCAGAGAAACTGTGCTTCTTGGGTGGAGAAGATGGCGGAAGAACATTCAGGAGTGGACTCCAAAGAACATTGAGATGATGACCTCTGACCTTGGTAGTGTGAGCAAGTCAGAGGTTAAGAGAATCATGGAGAAGAAGGGATGGGTTTTGGAGTCAGACCTGGTGGAGGACTTTCTCATAATGCCTCTCCTTTCTTCTAGGCTCTGGGTGGGCGTGGAAGATGCCCAGATGGTCACCACACCCATCTTTCTGAAGGTCCAGCCTTCCATGACTATGGCTTCCCTCAAAGACATGGTATGAACTGTCAGAGGCAGATTTGGGGCGAAAGTTGGGTGATCTTGGAGGAACCTGGAATTCAGGAGAAGCTTCCTCACAGTGAGGACAATTAATCAGTGGAACAGCTTGCCTCCAGAAATCGTGGGCGCTCCATCAATGGATGTTTTTAAGAAAACTCTAGACAGTCACTTATCTAAATTGGTTCTCCTACTGGAACAGGGGGCTGGACTAGAAGACCTCCAGGGTCCCTTCCAGCTTATTCTACTCTAATCTATGAAGATGCCATCATGGTATTCTGCACCCTGTCCATTTTCAGGAGAAGTCAGGGTTTTCAATCCAGGTTTTCACCACAGCTGTGAGAGGGACCTTGGAGTCCTAGTGGACGATCCCTTAAATATGAGCCAGCCATGTGCAACAGCAGCCAAAAAAGCTAACACAATCCTTGGTTGTATCAACAGAGGCATAGAATCAAAATCATGTGAAGTATTAGTACCGCTTTGTAAAACCTTAGTAAGGCCCCACCTGGCATCCTGCAACCAATTTTGGTCACCATACTACAAAAAAGAGGTTGAGAGTTTGGAAAAAGTTCAGAGAAGAGCAACTGAGCAGCCAAAAAGAAAGAGAGAGGAGGTGGGAGAAGGAGAAGAAAGAAAAAGGAAGGAAGGAAGGAAGGAAGGAAGGAAGGAAGGAAGGAAGGAAGGAAGGAAGGAAGGAAGGAAGGAAGGAAGGAAGGAAGAGCAGCAGCCAAAAAAGCTAACACAATCCTTGGTGGTATCAACAGAGGGCATAGAATCAAAATCGCGTGATGTGTTAGTACCTCTTTGTAAAGCCTTAGTAAGGCCCCACCTGGAATCCTGCATCCACTTTTGGTCCCCACATTACAAAAAAGATGTTGAGACTTTGGAAAAAGTGCAGAGAAGAGCAACTAAGAGGATTAAAGGCCCAGAGGCTAAAACATATAAAGATATCTCTTCTCTTCTCTTCTCTTCTCTTCTCTTCTCTTCTCTCCTCTCCTCTCCTCTCCTCTCCTCTCCTCTCCTCTCCTCTCTCTATTCTACACTCTACTCTCCACTCTCCACTCCACTCTACTCTACTCTATTCTTTCTGTATTTTATCCTATCCTATTCTATTCTGTATTCTCTCTTCAGTATATTCTTCTCTTCTCTTCTCTTCTCTTCTCTTCTCTTCTCTTCTCTTCTCTTCTCTTCTCTTCTCTTCTCTTCTCTTCTCTTCTCTTCTCTTCTCTTCTCTTCTCTTCTCTTCTCTTCTCTTCTCTCTCCTCTCCTCTCCTCTCCTCTCCTCTCCTCTCCTCTCCTCTCCTCTCCTCTCCTCTCCTCTCCTCTCCTCTCTCTATTCTACACTCTACTCTCCACTCTCTACTCTACAATCTACACTCTACTCTACTCTACTCTACTCTACACTCTACTCTAGAGGCAGACGTCTCCTGTGGGTTCCCTACAGCTGCCTTTTGTCTCCTGAACAGATGCATCTCCATTATGGTTTCCCACCCAGCATCCAGAAGTGGGTGGTGGGACGGAGGCTGCCCCAGGACCACGAGACCCTCCACTACCAAGGTATCCAGAAGGACGGCGACCAGGCCTACCTCTACTTGATGTCCGCCAAGACCAAGAAGCTGAGCAAAGAAACGGCAGAGTTGGACCACGAACGCAGGCAGCTGGAAGGTGAGCTGGTCCGAAGGGGCACCAGAAGGGGCACCGGGGGCATGGAAGGACCATCTACGCAGGTAGTCCTCGACTTACGACCACCGTGGAACCCAGAATTGATGTGGCTAAGAGAGATGTTTGTTAAGTGAGTTTTGCCCCAGTTTTACCACTTTTCATGCCACGTTCGTTAAGTGAGTGATTGGAGTTATTAAGTGAGGAACCCAGTCGTTAAGTGAATCTGGCTTCCTCCATTGACTTTGCTTGTGAGAAGGTCGCAAAAGGGGATCACGTGACCCCCGGGACGCTGCGACTATCATAAATGCGAGTCAGTTGCCAGGCGTCGTCATAAGTAGGAAAAATGGTCATAAGTTCCTTTTTTCATTGCCGTTGTAACTTTGAACAGTCACTAAATGAACCGTTGTAAGTCGAGGAATACCTTTATCTACAGGTTGTCCTCATTGATGACCGTGACTTGTGACAGTCGCCATTTTTATCATCATCTTTTTGAGAGGTCATTAAGTGAATCCTCAACAGTTGTTAAGTGAATGCAGCGGTCATTAAGTGAACCAATGGTTTGCTCTGAGAAAAAAATTGCCAAAAACCAGAAGTACAAGATGTCCTCGACTTACAAGCATTCATTTAGTGACTGTTCAAAGTTACAATGGTATTGAAAATAAGTGAGTTTAGGACTGTGTTTCACATTTATGACCGTTGCAGCAGCCCCATGGTCACGTGATTCAAAATCCCGATGCTATAAACGGGGACAAAATTCACTTTTAACAACTGCCTCGCTTAGCGACAGAAATGTGGGGTTCAATTGTGGTCATAGGTCGAGGACTACAGGTCTCAAAAGAGGATCACATGACTTCTGGGACACCGCAACCATCATAAATATGAATCAGTCGCCAAGCGTCTGGCTGTTGATCACATGACCGTGGGGACGCTGGAATGGCCGTAAGTGTGAGAAACGGCCGTAAGTCACTTTTTTCAGTGCCGTTGTAACTTCAAATGATCACTAAGCAAACGGTTGTAAGTCGAGGACCACCTGTATCTGTGCTCTTTCAAACTATGAAGCACCGTGACATTTTAAAACTCTAAACCCACATAGTGACTGTTAAGGTAATGATGATTTAATAGCTGACCAGCTGCTGTAAGGCTGTAAACCGAGATGATGAAATGAGAATGAGTCGGCAGGATTATTGCCCCTTTAAGAACCTGTCTATATAAGGGAGGCCATGAGAGGGCGCATCTGTCTCTCTCTCCTCCTGTATCACTCTCCTCGTCGTGTTCTATCTGCTTTGTAGTTCTCCGTGTAGAGGTGAAGATTGCTTGCTTGCCTGGTATGTGCCTACCACGTGTATGTCTGTATATAGAAGTCTTGTATATAAACCACCATTTGTAATGTTAAAATCTCTTGTGTCCTGTATTTTGCTCCTGTTCTGCCCCAGCTACGGACCCCAAAGAACGTAGCACTTACAAACTCTATACAAAGCTTATTTTACTCAAATAACTCAGTCTTTATCAACCAAAGGCTGTTAATAAACTGTCTTAACAGCCTACCAGAATTCTAAGATAAGGTAATCGCAGTCTTACTAGAGTTGGCAGAAAGCCCAGAAGCAATTTTGCAGAGAATCCAGACGCGAAGGAGAGTGAACTAAAGTTATTCCCTGCAAATTGCTTCAGTCGGCGTTCCTCCTTAAATAGGCGAAGGAAGTGGCAGCTCTGCGCGCCCGTGCATCGAGAAGAGGCTCCTCCTCTTCGTCCTCTTCACTTAAGGGAGCTTCTGGAGCTTCTGAAGGCCCTGGCTGAATTCCCACCTCTGGCACCACATCTTCTCCAGCCTCCTCACTGTCCGACTCGAGCGCCAGCTGCACAGGTTGCTGGCGCAGCACCACACCAGCCTCCTCGCTGTCAGAATCAGCTACTAGCTGCACAGGCCGCTGATGGGCCACAACAGCTCCTGGGTTGTCTCAAAATAGTAGCCACGCCGTAAACACGTCTTTCCTTTCTCCCTTGTGTGTTGTCGTCAGAGTTAGGCATTAGAGAAGGAGTCCTGGTGCCTCGGGGAACTGGCGATTCGGGTTCTTCGGACTTCTCGACACCAACGGAGCCCTCCTTGATGTTGGACGTGCACGAGGAGGGGAGCGGCTGTGAGCTGACTCTCCCCGTGGAGCCCCCAAAGGTAGGAGACGCGCAAGAAAGTGGGTGATGTAGAGATTAAGAAGATGAGAGATGTACGCAAGAGCCACAAATAATATCTACGGAGATTCTCCGTCATCCAGGTCCCGGTTGTCCCAAACGTGCTTTTTTTCAAGAGGCAACTGGATTTTTACCTCGAAGACGTTTCGCTTCTCCTCCGAGAAGCTTCTTCAGTTCTGACTGAAACGGTGGAGGATGGGTGGATTGATACTCCTTGCAGACAGCTGGAGATTTTAGAGAGCCGTTGAGGCCGCTTGGAGGTTTATCTATATCAGGGATGGCGAACCTTTTTGCCATCGCGTGCCAGGAGCGGGGGGGGAGCTTGCGTATGCGCCCCTCCCCCGCGCATGAGCGCGCGACACCCCCCCCCCCCGCTCCTGGCATGCGATGGCTCATTTTTCTCTCTCCCCAAGCTCCAGAGCCTTTCTAGGAGTCTGGGGAGGGCG